GCTTTTCTCTCTACTCAGTTTTAGCTTCTAGATGTATCGGTTTAAACTGGTTTGATCGTATTTTCAGCATTTTTTTACCCCACCCTGAGATGTATTTGCAGTCCAGACAATGCACCTTTCTTACTTAAAAATAATAAAAAGGAAACAGGCTATGTATTAATCACATTTAAAAGCCTGTCCAAAGCAGTTACATATAAACAAACATCATTTGACAGAAACTGGGATGGAGCCGCTTGAAACTGCTAATTCAGGGAATGGCACAATGCATTTTACACTGTGATTTTTATTCATTTGGAGAAAGACTCTTTCCAAAGCATTTGTTGCTATGACAGTTGGCTGTGCTGCTCTCTCCCATGGGCCAAACCAAACTGGTTGCTCAGTTTGGCCTCTGCCAGGTCAGGGACAGCTCTGCACCCGTTGGCATCCAGGGGATGGGGTCTTGCAAAGCTGCTGTCAGCATCCCCAGGTTTTTATTCTGTCCTCTGTGCCAGCTGGCCTCGAGGGTCTTATTTTTCTTTTCCTTATTCTATATATCTCCTGTCTCCATCTGCAGCAGCACAAAGGAGTGTGTGAAGTTTTACTGCCAGCAGCAGTGGTGCAGGACATGCCACTGAAGCACCCATCTGTATTGCTGTGGGCTAGGAGCAAACCCTCCTGGTACCCACACTTTCAGCATCAAACTTCCCAATTCCTGAAAGCAAATGTCTGTTTTAAACTATATGCTTTCCCTCTCTTACAGTAACTTAGAGAAATTCCCATCCCACAGTGACATGCCACGTCTTCATGGCTCCATCTGAGCTGGAGAGGAAGCAGCAGGATGGGCTACAGCACTCTGCAGCCTGCAGCAGTCGTTCATATTCAGCAGGTCCCTCTTGCAGAAGGTTATCAAAACAGCCCCGCTGCCAGCTGTCCCTCCGGTGTGGGGCTGGTTCTCCAGGGCCTCCTGGGAAATGGTTTTAAATGGCTTGTTGGAATTTCTCAGACTTCCAGAGTTAATTTTCATGGTTGTGAGTTTATATTGCACACTTATTAAAAACAGTGTCCCTAGATCAGGCTGGATTTATAGCTCGTGTCGCTATTAATTTGACCGTGATTTAAAGCAAATTCTTTATATAACATAAAAGGAAGGGTAATATATGTGATTTAAAAGAAAGTAATAGGCAAAATCTGGTTTAGCAAGACCCAGAGGTGTGTTTGACAGCTCTTTCCTGTGATGAACTGCTTTCTGCAGGACCTTGGTACTGCAAATATTTACATCCACGCTTAGCTGGAAGCCTGTGAATCCTTCGAGCCCTGTGGAAGAGCTGCCCTTGGTGTGAGGGTATTTCTTTCTGACAGTGATGTCCTGCTAAGGTGTGTTTTTTGGGGGTGGGATTTTGCATCTGGATTCATTGAAAATGGCTGGGGTCAGGCCCTCCTCCCAGCTGAGCTGCACAGAAAGCAGCCACGTCTCAAAGGCCAGCATTTGCAGAGCTTTCCAGGGAAGGTTTCTGGCTCCTTAGCCAATATGGAAATTAATTTTATATAAATCTGTCTCCCAGCTAGCAGCAAATACCCTGCAAATGCTGGCAGCTGAGGCACTGTATTGAAAATGGCTCATGAAGTATTTAACCTTGGTTTTCACACCAGCTGGAAAACTGGGCTGCATAGAAAGTGCGTTCATAGTGCTGTACCAGGTGATAGTGGAGAGAGAGGTGGTGGTGCTTAACCATCAGGATGGCAGAGAGCAACATGGGCTAAACCTGGCTCCAGGGATTGCAGAAAGAACCCCTGATCCACACTGCTGTTTCCCCCAGCACCAGAAAAGGGGGCCTGTGGCACTGGGACAGAGCCAGCCACCCTGTTGCAGGAGTATCAAAGGACACCAAGGAGTCCCCTTGAGTAGATGTGTCCCATAACCTGCAGGCACCTGGTCCTGGGAGCTGCTGCCTGCAAGCAGGGCAGTCTTGTAAAGGTCATTGCAACGTGTTTCCTAGTTAAATAACTGTGGCCAACGAATAAACAGGCTTGGAGCCAAAAAAAGGTGCTGGTTTTTGTTGTAGAACTCATTTACAGGCACAGTGAGACTAGGGACACTTTGGGGTCAGCTGCGGGCCAGCTCTCAACAGTGAATAGAAGAGGTCTGTACAGAGGCACGCACAGGAAGGCAGGTCTATGAGCTCCCACCTATGAAGGAATCATGTTTCTTTGCCACAGCTGGGATTGCTGGCTTTGGCATCTGGGCTAAATGCCGTGGGGACACCCCTGGATACAGGGATTTATAGCGATGCCACCAGAGGGTGCCCTAATAATATTTAATGCACGCATGGCTCCGCAGGGGGGTAGCCTGGGGGAAAAACCTTCCTTATCCTGGGCAAGGGGCTGCCAGAGGGTGGGGAAATGCTTTTAATGGCTCAAAGGTGGAGAAAAAATACTGTGACTTTTCAAACTGTTTTCCTTCTGAATCAGGGCAGGAAGAAGATGACTGCTGCCTTCACCTTCTGCTCCCCATCTCCTTGGATTGCTTGGCAGAGAAGAGCCCCACGGACCACTGTGCTACATGGAAACCGGGAACAAGCTCCATGGGTGCCATGTAAGTGCTGCCTATGAAGCCCTTGCTCCACTCTTGGTCCTTCTCTGCAGTGAATGCTCTGTCAGTGAGTGCCCAAGTCCAGCCCTGGGCACAGAGCTGCTCACCACCACCCCTCCAGATGCAACGGAGGCATGAAACAGCCAGGCTTGGACCAACTGCTGGTTTCAGTAGCCCCACGCTGGTAGGCTCCTTGATTTTCCTGCCTTTGATACTGCTATTGGTGCTATTGGCCCTGCTGTGTGATAGTGCAGCCTGGTGTTTCTCGGGGATGCAGCTCAATTGCTGGCTGCACATCTGTACACATGTACATCTGTATGTTCAGACACAGGGTGCGTACATGTCCCAGCCCAAACCCCATCAGTGGTGGCTCTGGTACCTACTGCTGTTGGCTCATCACCCTCATTGCAGGGAAGCAGTGGGAGCTTTGGAGCATGTTGAGGCTTGAATCGCTTATGTCTGTGTGTATTCATCCAGTTAGACTTTCAGGAAAGCAAAACAAACATGAATGCAAACCCAAATAAGAGAGGTTGTGCTGCACAGAGACAGATCTGTTCCAAAGGGCTTAAAAGCCAGGGGCACTTGCTGTGATGCTGAGAGGGGACAGTCCCTGGTCCTAATGACCCCTGTCCCTTTGTGCAGTTCATTAAACAGCACACCCCAGCATATTTGATGATTGTTTATGTGCAATTTATTTAATGTTCCCCTAATGTTGCATATTTAATCACAGTGCGTGCTCCATTGGTCTGTATTTTGGATATACGGGCCCCAAATGAACAAGCCAGGTGGGGCCCTGTGGGGTTTTACATCAGCTCTCCTGTGTCCTCATTGCTGCCAGTACCTAAAAGGAGGCAAAGGGAGGTATGTAGAGCCTTGCCCAGGGCCAAAGGCTCTCTCATTCTGTGACACAGGCAGAGAGGTGTCAAAGCCCACCAAGGTCAGTGGGGAGCAGTGTCAAGGCCAGGAAGAAGACATGAGCCCTGTTCAGATGAGTCCTAGGTGCAGATGGACAAACCTATCCAGTGAGGTGATGGAGGCTATGAGGAAATGCAGTCTTGCTGCAGGCTGCTGCTCTGGGTTCCTGGGGGCTTCTCTGCCAAGCGACTCACTCCCCCAAGGACAGCAAAACCCATATTGTGTGGGTTTCTGCAGGGTGAGGGGCAGCCCTGGCTCTGTCCCAGTGCAGGGCAGCAGGGACCTCCTGTGGGGCTAGGAGGTGGTCTTGTGGGATGGGAATTGAGGATGCCTCTGGCATCATGCATTGGAGAAGGGCTTCCCAAGGAGACCCAAACCTGATGGACTGGGGGATCTTAGCACTTTTTGTTCAGCTGAACACTATCTGCTCTGTGTTCTCACCTGGCCAGGGCTGCTGTGGAGGAAACTGAGTTTTCACTTCTGAAGAGCCTCTTTGTTTCTCTCCCAGCCATGATCTGAGACCTGGCTTGCGTGAGACAAAGTTTCTCCAGGCCATTTCCGATTCCCAGTGTAAAACTTCTGTTTGACAATGAATAAAGCTCAAGAATCTTCATTCATTGAAAGACAAACTTTGATCTGGCTGCAGAATACATTGAGACTCCTGCAACTTAGAAACCCCTTTGCAGTTGGGACAGCCGGGTGATGATCCTTGGGTGGGGAAAATCTAGAGACAACATGGACTGTTGAACATTTTGGGATGTAATTACACTACTGTCTAGTGAATGTATGGAGTAAACAGAGAAATATCAATAGAGTGTGATTTATTCCTTTGTGCACTGCTCCTTTCTGCAAGCCAAGAAAAAGTAGGGATTTATGTGCGACTAAGACATGAGGCCAGAGACTTAGGCTGATTTCAGCCTTCACGTGAACCGTTGCTGCAGTCAGCCAGACAATGGCATTCCTATAAAAATCCCAATGCAAATATTTGTTCTAAATCAGACTCTTTCCTTTTGCTTTGACTGGAGTGTAACTGAGGGAGCTTATGCAATGCTGTATTGTTTCAAGATTAATTGCTACTGAAAGTTGAAGGATTTCTTGTCTGCCTTGCACACACACTCCCCAGCCCCCTCGGGATAATCTTCTCTCTATTTAATTCTTCCCTAAATTCTTTCTCCCCAGACAGTGAGTTTTGTAAAGGCCAAGCTGCTTTCCTCCCCTAAAAGCCCAGCTCATTTGCTAGCCCTTCCTGCCCCATCAGCAGGCAAACTGGGGGGTGCTGATGAAGAGATGAGTATCTGCCTCTACTAACAGTTGGATTATTCTCACTTTTCACATGCCATCTGCATGGGAGGGTTTGCTTTGCATTGACTCCAGCCTGTGGGCTGAGCTGAGAAAACAGATTGCTGCACCACTCTGTTAAATAATCATCATTAGAGGCTGGTTCATCAGACAACTTCAGGCTGCCATGGAGGTTTGGGGGGGTTGGGAAGGGGAAATGCAATTCACGTGCACATGATGATGCTGAAATCAGGTTTTAATGTAAGTTTTATGATGTTCTGTTGCAGTGCTGTCAGCTGGGATCCGTGGGACTTCTCACCTGAGGTTTGCAGGCAGGAAGGGGTGATACCAGCAGCACTCTCTTCCTGCTGCTCCTGGCTGGGTTAGTGCAGAAGCCTCGATGCTGTGAGCAGCTTCAAACCCACACCAAGCAAATACTCCAAGATCAGCAACATTTTACATTGCAAACCACCAGGCACAGACCTGTGTCCCACTGGTGGCAGCTCTGAAGCAGATACACACACATGCACAATGCAGAAAGGTCCTTTTAATCCTTCTGCCCCTCGAGAGGAATGGCAGAGCTCCAGAGCCCACATGAACACATGGAGATCCCTGCCTTTCAGGTGTTACAGACAAAGCACACCGAAGTATTTTCCCTTTGTTCCTTACATTTGAGATCAGTACAGTACATGCAGTATGCTGCTTCTAGCTGATCTATCTTTGCATACAATTAGGAAAATAACCTGAAGGTTTAATTTCCCTTCTTACCCAAAATACTTGAACTTTAACAAAATATTTGCTTCCTTTCCACTAACTATTGCACTTGCTGTGGGTATATCTACATTAGTCTTCAGCATCTGTGTGTTTCCACATCACTGGAGAGGACTCAGCACGCTCACGAGCTCGAGCAGCGTCTGTTTCTTGGTCTCCTCTTCTTTGTAAATTTTGATTTCAGCCAGTTGAAGAAGCCACCTTTTGCTTTCAACTCAAACTCTACTGGGAAGTGGTCGCTCACCCCCAGTGCCTGCAAGACAAGAGCACAGAGGGGTTTGGGAGCCAGATACTCACACTCTTTCCAAACACTGCCCCAGCGGGTTTCACCATGCAGTGGGGAGGTGCAGTATGGCCACTGCATCACTTTGGGAGGATGCAATGGCTTTGTGGCCAGGGCCATGTTCAAAACTGCCTGGATACTATTGGCTTTGTACTGTGTTAGTCCTTGTCCCAGTGCTGCAGAGGCCATGCTCTGCCTACCTGCTCCTCGGTCATTTGGAAGTCCTTCTGGAAATCAAAGATATTGACAGACTGTGGCACGATGGCATGGACAAGCTTCTGCCCGCTGACCACGATCCTGCAAGGAACAAGGGAATGGGGTGCTGTTATGGGGTGCCCAAGCAGCGGCATGCAGCACTGAGCTGGTGGCCAGAGGGGTGGCCTTGATGCAATCACAGGTATCTATGGTTTGTCCTTACCGACGGGCCAGGTACTAAGAGATGCCATCACCTGCTTTCGGCTCAGTTTGGCTCATTGCTGTCCTTGACAGTGAGGCACCTGAATGTCTTGGTGTGTATTGGCCTTGGAAGCCAGCATTACCTCACTTCTATCTAAACCATCCCTAACAGTCCTGCAGAGCTCAAAGCCATACTTTCTGCAAAACTCCATGACAAGAAGCCTGGAAAGTGCTTTGTGCTCCTGACTAGAAGTATTCAGACCTTGTTTCAGTCCTCATTTCTCCCTGGACACTGTTTTATCCTTGAAGTCCTCATGCGCATCTGCTTTATCTGACAGTCATTGATACCTTTTGATATATTTTTTTCCTCAGGGAGTCACAGTGAGTGACTTGGTGGTGAACACTTCACCTGTCATATGGGCAGCTTGTGCTTCTCTTCACTGTTGTGTCATTTTTGTCGCCGATTAGCCAGATGAATTCGGAGTAAGTCCTCAGCCGAATGTTCTTCCAGTGCTTTTGGGGAACGTAGCTACACCCAGCATTAAAGTCCCCCATGAAGATGAAGTTCTGGAAGGTAGGAGGGGTTTAAAAGGTAATCGTGAGGACAGCTTTTCAAAAGAAGACAGCAAGGACTTTTAGGGTCAGTGGGTGCTCCCAGTAGCCATTGCAGCTTGAATAGCAAGCACTCATTGGGTGTACTGGGGCAAGTCTAAATGAGGCAACAAAGATGCTCAGGGGCTGGAGCACCTCTCCTGTGAAGACAGACTGAGGGAGCTGGGGCTGTTCAGCCTGGGGAAGAGAAGGCTCTGGAGAGACCTTAGAGCAGCTCCAATGCCTAAAGGGGCTGACAAGAAATCTGGAGAGGGGCTTTGGACAAGGGCCTGTAGGGACAGGACACGGGTGAATGAAAAGGGTAGATTTAGATTAGGTATTAGAAAGAACAACTTCCCTGCAAGGGTGCTGAGGCACTGGCACAGCATGCCCAGAGAAGCTGTGGCTGCCCCATCCCTGGCAGTGTTCAAGGCCAGGTTGGACACAGAGGCTTGGAGCAACCTGGTCCAGTGGAAGGTGTCCCTGCCCATGGCAGGGGGTTGGAACTGGGTGAGCTTTAAGGTCCTTTCCAACCCAAACCATTCTGTGATTCTATGATCCTTCTTTCTGCTGGGCGCACCACCAAACATACTGATGAAACAACAGTTTTATTGTGAGATCAAGTTTACTTATTAAAATGTGGTGAACCCAATGAAAATACATTAAAGAGAGACTCAAATGTGGGGCTTGTCAACAGTTTTAAGGTTACCAGGCTGTGAGTAAGGAATAGCATGCCAGGTGAGTCAGTACCAAAGCTGCTGTTAGTAATGTGGATGTGGCAACTAACCTCAATTTTCCAGCGCTGTTTTACATCTAAATACACATCATAGAGCTCATCAATCTCCCGTACTGCTGTCTCTGGTGTGGTGTGTAGAGGGATTATAGCAAATTCTTTGACAGCTTAAAAACAAAGCAAAAGAACAGGAAAAAGTGCACTGGTTAAACACACAATGAATCACAAAGAAGCAGAGACTGACTTGGAAGCAAGAAGGTTTGTCTGAAGAAGAAAAAGCTGCTGTTCTGGCTGTGGATCAGAGGCCATTGCTGTGTGGTTGCACAGTGCTCCCCACCAGCTGCCCAGTGAGGCTGAGCTGTGATGTGGTGAAGTGCTGTGTCAGGGCAAGACAAACCCTGCTCTGATACCCATGGCAATAGCTGCTCCCATGGCTGTGCCAGTGGCATGGAGCACATCCACCAAACCACTGCCCGTGGCAGCAGAAGAGGCTTTCCTGGGGCTGCAGCATGCACTGAGCTGTGGATGATGCTGGAGGCAGCAGCCCCAAAGGCAAAATGCTGCTTGTGTAAGGAAAAGCAGCATGGGGTCAGGATGTGGCCCCTCTCGCAGCCACCACGACATGCTTGGTTCCAGCAGGGCTATTTTGCTCCGTAAGACTTGCCAGTGGGAGGATGATTTGTTTCTCAAAGGTCTCACCAGTTTTTGGAGAGTGGAACCAGACGGTGAAGGGCTCTCTGGAGAAGGCATCCTCATCCCCAGGCTGGGTGTCTGGGTACTGGTAGGTTTGTTTCACCGATACCAGGTGTGGCCTGCAGCAGAATAAACAGGACAGGGGATGTCATGCTCATAGCTTGCTGGGACATCTGGGACATGTCTAACTCTGACTCCATGCTCTAGGCCATGGTCTGCAATGGATACAGCCACACTGGTGGCTCTGCTTGGGACAATCCCATAGCCAGGCACAGCCCATCTCATCCGCACAGCCTGCTTCTCTCCGGGTCCCTTGGAGCAAAGCCACCCCTGTGTCCAGCCCATTCCTACAGGGCAGGGCAGGGTAGGGTAAGGGTCTGGCTTGTTGGCAAGGGGAGCTTGCTCACCGGTAGATGAAGGCGTACTGCTCCTTGTAGCTCTTCCTTCCCAGCCTCTCGCTGACCACGCAGCGGTATTCCTCCTTCGGCCCCTTCAGCTCTCTGGAAGGAAAGTGGTGTTCCTGAGTTTATGTCTGCATTCATGGGGGGATGAGGAGGAGATAGTTTTGCCCAAGGGTACGGGATGCTGCCTGCCTGACCTCAGAGGGGGGTTGTAAAGACAATAAACCCTTCTCAGGACCTGCGGTCTGGATCTGTGCTCCACCGCTGGCTCTTTACCTCCTTCCTGCTTGTTGCTGCTCTACCTCTCTTTCAGCTGGGTCTCACATCCAGCCAGACATACGCTGCTCGTTCCTCTAGGCTGCCAGTCCAGGCAGGCAATCCCTGATCTACAGCAATTCCCAACCCTGCAGACAGGCAGCTGCCCTGGTGCAGCGCAGTGGAAAACTCTGGTTTTCCCTTGAGCATTATCTTTAACAGACTGAGATTTAAAATGTCCTACATGGTTTGGACATGTCCTACGGTGGTTTGGAGCTGACTTTGCTCCTGGCCTTCTGCAGGGCTGTCAGAGCCTTGTCCTTTCCTTGACAGCTGGGACAAAGCCCAGACCCTGAGCTTTCACCCTGATAACACAGCACTGAGCAGAGCACAGGCTCTTGCCAAGCTTCTTTCCCAACATCTGCCTACTTGCCCATGGCCACCGTACCTGGTGAGCTTCTCCACCAGGAGAGGACAAACCCGGTTCTTGTTCTCCTTTATTTCCATCAGCAACATGATGTCACAGCGAGAAATGATCTGCGAGGGGAAGGAGCAGAAGCAGTTTTGCACGTGGTGGGTTTTGGAGGATTAGGAAAAGGTTGGACAGAAGTGGTTACTGGTGCGGGGAAGTCCTTTGTGGAAGAAGCAGCTCCAAGCCTGGGGTCGTGGGAGGGGGGCAGTAGCCTGAGCAGAGTCCTTCTGCTTTCAGAGCTGCCTCACATCCCCACTGGAGCTGGGAGAGGGAACTCGGGAGCAGAGCGGTTTTGGGTTTGTTGAAGAACTTCTGTCCCTGCCCTTGAGGAGGAAGTGTGGAGGGGAAGGGGCAGTGAGAGCTGCTGCTGTGAGCCTGCTTTAACCCCAGCACTGCTGGGGTGCTGCCCTGCCACCCCTGCCCTCACCTGTGGCTGTTTTCTCTCCTCCTTGCCACACTGGTTTCCTTCTCCGCTTCAGACCTGTCCTGCGCACCCCAACTCCCTTGGTACCCAGAAGGATGTGGCAGGAGCTTTTGAGGGGCTTTGACGGGAGCCGGATAGGGTCCGTTACCAACCCACTGCAATGGTTTCCATCCTTTTTCTGGTGTAAGCACCCCGAGGGTCCTACAACTACATGTGCCATCCTAAAGCTGTGTGTGCTGTCAGCATTCACCTGTCCCTGCTCCTGCTGCAGCCCCTCTGAAACAGCCCATACAGCCCAAAGCAACCCAGGTTTGAAATGAGGTCCCAGCACCTGTGGGCTGCAGCAGAGAAGCTCCAGGGTGCTGGGGGGGCTGCCTCATCCCCATGGCCAGCACCAGGATCCCCATGGGAAAGGCCAGCTCACCCTGCAGCAGAGTGCACCCCAGGGCTTCCTTCTGCCCATGGCTTTGTTGTGAGTGATTTCATGGGAAAAAGCACCCCTTTTTGCCCCTTGAAACATGCAGAAATCAGTATGTTGCCCATAGTGCTGATGGTATAAAAACAGTCCAGATATGTAAACCCCTCTTCTCCAGCAGTTTGCAACGAAGAATTAAAACCTAAATGGTGTCGTTCTTCATTACTGCCTTTTGACATTTGCAGCCATCCCTCTAACACTGAGCACCACCTTCTCTTACTGTGGCATCTCGGAGGGCACCTGCAAAAGCTGTGAGTCCAAAACAAGGTTCTTTAAAAAAGCTGAGTTTATCTTCAGCTTCTCCAGAGGGAGCCTGATGGTGAGGGTTTGCTCACATGAATTAGCAGTCAGGCTTTTCACTCTAATACGATTCTCTCTGCTGTCCTGAGAATATGTGTTTAATTAGACAAGAATACTGTAGCATAACCAGCACATAAGCACGGTCAGTAACGTATTGCAAACCAAGGTCAATAACGTATCGCAAACCAAAGCTCTGTGCATTCAAAGTCAAAAGTATTTTTCCTGCACACAGAGGTTTTGCTTCCTTGCTAACTCCATTTCCAAAGCAAACAGCAGATGTTTTTTCTGTTCTATTCCCATGCAAGCTATAATAGCAGTAAACATCCTACTCAAACACAGGCTGATTTTTACTTTAAGAGAATGAAGTTATTTAAATTATTCACTCAATTTTAACCTGAAATTCAACTGTGAAAAGGTAAAGTGCAAGATTACGCAGCTAGGAAATCCCCCAAAAACTCAATGTCTGTCTCAGCCAGGCAAATGAACGTACCTTTACCACGGCATCCACAACTTCAGGTCTGCCTATTTTAGTTTCTCCAAAAGATCTCACATTGAAGGAGCAGATTCTTAGGCTCAGAGATGGGTTGAAATTGAAGAGCCAAAGCAAGACGAAGAGCAACATCTTCGGGGACTTGGACAAAACGAGCTGCCGTGAGTGTGCCTATAAATATCTGTGCGTGTGTTTGTGCATCCGTCCCTTTGTGGCCAGTTGGGAGATCAAACTGAGCAGTCAGCTGTGTCAATCACGAACAAGAACAGGAATTACCATTTCCTCCTTTCCCTCACCTCCATCTCCCTGCGCAAAGCAGCATGGAGGCTTTGAACATCTGCCAGGGGGAAAACCAGCTCTCCCAAGCCAATGTCCCCATCCTGGAGAAGCAACTGCTCCAACAGACTCCAGCATCCATCCCCATAGGGACGCCTGCTATGCCTGGACACCAGCCAGAAACACTTTGGGCAGTGTTGGGCCAGGACCAGGCTCCCTGGGCCACCCAGGAGAGAGGTCAAGACCAGGAAATGAATAGGGTGGATAGTGAAAGGGTCTGGGAAGCAGCAGTGGGAAGAGGGAAGTTTCTGGAGGGCACCAGTTGTGGGCACCAGAAGCCCCAGTGAGAGGTGGTGGTGGTGGGACACCCTGAACGCAGTGGTTTTGACCATATCCATGTTTTGCTCTGCTTGTGTTGTGGTTGGAAAGTCACACTGTGAGAAAGCGATGAACCATCCATCACCCCAGGCCACTCGCTTTTACCACCTTCATCCAGAGCCACGGTGTACCCTGCTGTGGGCTACCCACAGCTGATGGGGCCCTATGGCTCAATCCAGTGCAGCCATGGGGAGGTACGTGACATCTCCAGTGCTGTCCCCAAACTCCAGCCAAGTGTCCCCAGCACAGCAGTCTCGGGGTGGTGACCCAAGGTGTGTGCATGTGGGTCTGGCTCAAGCTGTGTGGTGGTGGGGGGCACATGAGTTTGGCCAAGGTGACGCTCAAGTGAGGATGCTGCAACTGGGATGGCTTTGTCACATTGGGTGGCTTTTGCAGGGAAACCATTCCCCTGACCTCCCTTACTCCTCCACTGTGTGCCTGGCGATGCATTTATCATCAGGAGGTCTATAATGACAGGAGGTATAACAAGAAGTCAGGCTAAATGGCATCTTCAAGTATCTTGGATTTTATTCCCTGTGCTTACAGGTTCGTTCACATCCTCTTTTCCCTGAGACCAGTCCTGCAGCTCAGTTGGACCCCACTGCCCTGCCTGCACAGGGAGCTGCCCTGCTGCCCTCCTGCTTCCTAATGAACACAGCAGCCTGGGAGCAGGCTTGTGGCCCTCCCAAATCACAGGGGTTGTGCCGTGCCTTCCCGCCACTGGGTCTCTAATGAGCCAGCCTTGAGCAGGACAGGCTCTGGAGGAAACTAATAATGCAGAAGGGAAAGCAACAGCTTTAAGGGTTGTAAATCTCCTGCTTGACCTCGCTAAAAGCACAGCATGAGCCAACAGTTTGCAACAGCGGCTGCAGCCTTGGGGTCAGAGCCATCAAAACCTAGAGCTCTCCCCAAGCCCAGACTTGCTTGGGTTACCCAGGCACCAAGAAGCAACTTTTGTGGTGCCTGTGAGGACTTTGACCCTGAACTGTGCCTTGATGCTGCCTTGTTTGTCCCCAGGACTCACTTAAGGGCCCTCCCCTACACCCCGGGTGTTATCAGCAGACAGCAGAGCCACCCTGTGCAGTGACGTGCGGAGCTCACGCTCCTTTCTGCACCATTTTATCTCTCTGCTTATTGCATTTTCCCTGCATATGTTCTTTGCTCCATATCGCACCATAAAACCCACTCGATGCCAGCTTATGAACCCTGCCCATTCAGGGCTATCCTGGTCTTGCACAAGACAAATGAAGCTGCTGGTGCAATCAGCCTGGGTTGGGTTTTCACCCCTACTCTGAACGATGCTGGCTGAGGAACATCACCTTCAGCTGAGCAGCACCTGTGGGAAGTTCCCTAATAAAGCTCCTTCTCAGCCTCTCCCTGCTCCCAGGAAAGAAGGGACAAGTGATGAGGCTGCAGGCAATGCCAAAGCCAGGTTGGGCAAGAGCTTAGAGCTGTGAGTAGGTGCTGCTCAAGCCTTGCCTGCTCCTCTTCAGGGTGTTTCAGTCAAGCTTTGCTGACAGCCTGTGCTGGGGCTGGGACTGGAGCAGTGATTCAGCCTTCTGTCCCCTTCCTGCTCCCAAGCAGGTGCTGAGGGATGGTTGGGGTGAGATGTGTCCCCATATCATCTGCCTGCTCGGGGTCCCCATGCGATAGCAGGGTGCTACAGTCTGGCAGCCATGGGGGGTTCCTCCTCTCCCCTCTGGTGCAGTCGCTTCCTTTTGGCCGCAGCCCTGGCTGCCTCATGGGGCACCCGCAGCTTTGTTTGTGCTGGCAGCGATGGACTGAGGATTTCTGACGCTTCCTGCGCCTCTGTGGGAGCCACCGAGTGAGCCCACATCCCCTCGTGCTCTGCGCAGGAAGCCTGGCCTGGGCTTGCAGGGCACTGTGACTCATGGGGCACTCCGTGGGGTGAGACCTGCGGGGCGCAAGGTGACCTAGGGCTCTGCTCAGAACCTGGAAATAACACTGAGGCTTTATTTTATCTCATCTCCTGCGTGCCAAGCGTGGTGTCTGTGTGCTGGAGGGGGTTCAGCGCTGCTGGGGACACCAGTGCTGCTGTGCTCCTTCTGCGAAGGGCACAGAGGCTGCTCCTGCCTGCCCGAGCCACAGCTTGTCAGCATCCCCCTGCTGCCCCGGTCAGCATCCCCATACACCTGTGCCCCCAGAGGAGACACCACTGGGTGGTGTTGGGGTGTGGGGACCAGCACCCCCAGGCTGGTGCTCCCCAGCTCCCACCACAGCTCTGTTTACTGGAGGAGGGACTCATGTGCTTCCCTTCTCATGTGCCGGGCTTTGTGTTGGGTGTTCCTTAATTTTTATTGTTTCTACCTAAATTGCAGCTCTGTCAACACCCATTGTGGTGAGGGGAGGTCTGTGGGAGAAGCCAGCCCCAAAGTCACAAACATCACCATAAAAGTAGGTTCCTTTGGGCAAATTAAATGACCTTTGGGCTCTCGGTGACCTTATCACAACCATCGGGCTGAGCACTTTATGGCAGTCTCCTGGAATTTCAAGTTAATGAGTAGCAAAGCACTAGGACCATGTTGTCATGCTAAAGTTCACCATTGGGCTGCAGACCGAATCTGGTCATTTGGGAAGTGGCTTTGGTGTCAGTCCGATGGTGACAAGTGGCCTGCGTCCCTGGAAATTCAGTATAATTGAGGGTTAAATTATGTGGTGTGCAAGATCTATGGTGTGTTCTGAATCAATAGCAGCATCTTTGATACTTAACCCTCTGTTTATAATTCTGGAATACTAAGTTACTGTCAGAGCATAACTCCTTTGCTGATACAGGGCTCTGATAGGGCTATCTTATTCAACTTAATACGTCAGGATTGCTCAAGCAGTGGATGTCAGGGGTGAAAGCCTGCCAGCTAAAGCAGTTCATGGAAAAACGCCTCATTGTGTTTCCAGTTTCTTGAAGCAGGCCACTTAGCTGAAGTGTAGGAGAGCTCACAGCAACCTGGAATAAAGGCTGTGACGCATGGCAATTAGAGCGGGCTTTGAAGTCATCCCTCCATAAAGATATTGCAGCCACCGATGAAGGAGGGGTTTCTAACAGTAAGTGCACCCTTACTGTCAGCAGCTAAAGATGTAATTAGACTGTGTGTAACACGCATTAACTTTGAGTTAAGAAGGTATTGTTTAAAGCTGTTAGCAGGCAGGTAGGGCTGCTTCATAATGTTTTGAAACCCAGGAGCATTTGTATATGCGTGGGTCCCAGGCTGTGCAATGGAGCTGCTCAAGAGTGACAGGGGCAGCTGCCTGGAGCCCTGCCTGCAGGGGTTATCTACCCCTGTGCTCACCCAGAGCTGGTTTGCAAACCAGGGTGAGCTGAGAGCTTCTCTCTGCCCTGAGGGGTGGATTTTGGCAGCTGTATGTCAGCAAAGCTTTCCTCTGCTCAGGGCACAGTGAGGTGTTCCTCAGCAGCAGGTCCCATGGGTGAGCTGTGGGGCCATGCTGGGTTTGTGGGGCACCCACTGCCGCAGTGCTTTCCCATGGGAAATTGTTCATGGCATTGTACCACCGTGCCACCCCTGCATGAGAGGAAATAGACAGGGACGAGTCACCCTAGAATGCTGATTCACTTTGCCAAAGCAGCTTGCTGTCACTTGTTAAGGTTGCAAACAATCCCTCTGTGCTCCCCAGGGATTCATCACCTAGCAGTGGAAAATAACGTGGAAGCCTTTCATCTGGTGGAGCAATGCTGCTCCTCAGTTTCATGAGGAGCTTTGCGTTCTCCAGTGCTACCCTGGCCTGAATCCAAGCAGAGCTTCCACCTTCCCATGGAAAACAAGGCAGTTTATGTGCCTCATTTCTGGGGTCAATAGGACACCTCATCCTGATTATTTTTCATATCTTCCCCCTTGGCTACTCTGATTCAGAAAGGCATTTTGTTTCTAACTGGATCATAAGTCATCCTCTAGCCTGCTCACAGCATCAAAGCTGTGCTCCCGTGCCGGGCTGAAGCCTGGCTCCTGACGCTGGCATTAGGAATGAGGAATCCTGGCATTAGGACTGAGGGTCAGGCTAGCTGGTGCTGGCTCCAGAAGGCTGGCAGCCTCAGGGGGTGACATGGGGTGACTCAGTCCTTGCCAGGGCTGCAGCTGTGATGAGTTGTGTCTGTGGGCTGAGAGGAGAAACAAAAGCACAGAGCAGGTCACTGCAGGGGCTGGCTTTTAATTTGAGCTTGCCATGCTGCAGCCACCCCAAACATGGCTTTGCAGAGTCCTCAAGGGAGTGCCCAGAGAGCTGCTGGGGCTTCCCCTCCAGCCCAGGGCTCATCTGCTCCCAATGGGAACAAGGAGCCCAGCCGTACCCTGCGCTCCGACACGGCCCCTGTACCACCGATAAAACCCAAGGTCCCCTCTGCTGTGCTGGGATGGAGGAGCAGCCTTGGTCCCTGACCAGTAACGTCATCATGGTGCTGCCAACAGCCTCACTGAAGCCATGACCTGCTGAATCTGTGTCGTTGCCCTTGCGGTAGCTGACGCAGGAGAGCCTTGAAGATCCCTCCTTTCCCTATCACCATCAAAGGAGACACTTGATGACTCTTCCCTATGGCTGAGATTACAACAGTGGGTTCCCCAGTAAACTCATGCCATGTTTCGACATAAAACCACAGCAGGCCCCTGCTTTAGCTTTGCTGTTCTAAGAGCTATAATTTGCTGTGACTGTTTCCAGGGGTTTTCCCACCAGGTGGCCTGGAATAACCATGCAGCGGGTAATCCATCCCTGGCATGAGTCAGCACTGCCCTGCATGTGTCCTGCGGGAGCCTCGGGTCGCGCTTGAGAAAGTTGAACAAATAACCTGTGTTTAAAGGCTTGTGAAATACCTCCTGGGTCTGCTTAGGTCATCTTAGTGGAAGCTCATTTTTGCTTAGCCTAGCTTGACTGGGAAGCTCTTCAAACAAAACCCTAAAAAAGCTGCATGAATCTGTGCCTTGCCTTCCTAAAAACCTAAAAACCAGGCCACCTAAACCCCTCAGTTCTGATTATACGTTTCTTCTGACAGCTCATGTTATCAAAAGCTTTAGGTTATTGTAGTAAACTCTGACCTGGAAAGCCCTTTATGCCAGTTCTTTTCTTGGCTTTCCCAGCCTGCCAGTCCAAAGGGACATCCTTTGTCAAAGTACACATCAGTGAGGTTTGACCTAATTTGCTTGCATTTAGTCAGGAGCCGATCTCATTTCCAATTTAATTAAGTTTTCTTATATTTCTGGGCATATCTTAAAGGTGCCTGATACGCAACCCAAGGGGGATAGAAGTAAATTAACTCATAGCAGAAGGATTTGGACAGCAGTTGTAAGAAAAACCAAAGCAGATTTTAAATGCAGGTTGAAATACAGCTCTTGAGAGCAAACAGTGTTATCTGTTCGGAAGAGAGGGCAGGTAACAGGCTTGCAACCTAAGTGGCAGGCTTAAAAATCCTGTTTCAGCTGTTAAAGTATCAGTGGGATGCTCTGATTTAAACTTTCAGCCTTTGTGTCCTTTCCATGGGAAATGTGACAGAGCTCTGTGCTCCCTGATTGCAACCCTGTGCCAGGACCTGGGGAAGGGGGAGATGTCCCCTGCCCCCCAGGCTTGTTCACAGGCCTCCTGCAAGGGGGTGTGCACTCTTGTGTGGGGTGTAGCTCTCCATTCCCCTTTGTATCTCTGTGGCAGTTGTACACATTCCCCTTAACATCCTTGTAAACCCTGTTGTATCTACCCTTGCATCTCCTTGTTGTAACCCTTTGCAGCCTTACTGCATTCCCTTTTTTATCCCTGTTGCATCCCCATGGCAACCCCACTGTGCAAATTCCATAGCCTCATTGCATCGTCCTTGTATCCCTGCTGTGTCTCCTTTGCATACCCCCTTACATCAGTTGTTGTATCCCTGTTTCAGCTGCACTGCATTCCCCACTGTAACCCCTTGCACCCCTGTCATGTCCCCCTTGCACTCCTTGTTGCATTGCCTCTTGGACTGCTGCACTGCATCCCTGTTGCAGCCATGTTGCATTTCTTCTTGCACCCCCAATTAGAGTGATAGTGCACCCCCTAAGCATCTCACTGCATTCCTAAACATCTGCCTTGCATTTCCTCTTGCACCCTCGTTGTATCCTGCTTGTACTCATGTTGCAGCATTATTGCAGCCCCCTCCCATTCTGTTGTATCCCCTTCATGTTCCCTTTGCACTCCATTAAAGCCCTCTTGCAGCCTCTTTGCATCCCCTTTGTACACCCTATTTCAAGTGCCACTTGTAACCCCGTGGAAATCCTATTAAGTCCCATAATCACACCCCTGTTACATCTGTCTTCCACTCCTGCTGCAGCCCAATTGCATCCTCCCTTGCGCCCCCACTGAAGTCCCATCACATCTCCCTGTTGCTGCTCTGCTGTATCCCCCCTTCCATCTGTTGTACCCCCTTCTTGTACCCCTATGGAAGCTCCATTATATCATCCCTACTGCAGCTCCATCCCATCCCTCCTTGCACCTCCACTGAAGTCCCATTATATCTCCCCATTGTAGCCACCTTTGCAATGCATCCCCACTTTGCATCCCATTGCAGCTCCCCTTCCAGCCTTCTGGTACCCCCTTCTATCCTCACAGAAGCCCCATTATGTCCTCCCACCGTTCTATCCCCCTCAGCCCCCCCACTGCGACTCTATTGCATCCCCACCTTGCACCCCCGTTGAACTCCCATCACATCTCCTGTTACAGCTCCACTGCATCCCCACTTCCATCCCTCTTATACCCCTACTTACTTCCTTCTGGAAGCCACATTACGCCCTCCCTTGCCCCCTCACTGCAGCCATATTGCATCTCCCCCTTACACCCCTATTTCCCCCCCTTGCACCTCGTTGTATCCCCTCCACATCCCCCCTCGCACCCCCCCGCAGCCGCGCCACATCCCCGCCTCGCAGCGCTGCGCTGCGCCCCCGCGGAGCCGCACCGGCGCGGAGGGACGGAGGGAGGGCGCAGCGGAGCCGCCGCGTTTCACCGCTCCGCGCTGCCATTGCGGCCCGGCCCGGCTCGGATCGGCACGGTGAGAGGCGGGGACGGGGTGGGGGGCTGACGGTAGCGATGCTGAGACCGGGGAAGACCGGGGGGAGGATGCCGGGACGCCCTCCGGGCCACCCCGCTCTGGGTCCCAACCCTGGCATCACTGGGGGAGGGGAGGGAGAGTGGGCAGGTCAGGAGAGAAGCCGAAATACAAGAAATAATTCAATATATATAAATATTTAATCCATTTTCGTTAAAATTTCTGTTCCCCCCCCCCCCCCCCCCGGAAATGGGGCATGAAGGGCAGCAGACCTCGGCTGCTGCTCTTTGGAGGATGCCATCATTTTGCTGGAGGAGGTTACTTTGGGGCAGAGGGGATGCTGTGTGCTGGGAGAGGGGACCTGGACGTAGTCCCTGGTATCTCTACTCCATCCCTCCCCCCCGGAGAGGGCTGAGTCCGGGTGCATTCGTGACATGAGCTGTGCTGTGCATCCTCTGCTGTGTGCATGTGCGGCAGGATGGGGATGGTGGCAGGGTCCGGAAGCAGGACGGGCATGGGATGAGTTTGTAACCCGGTAGCTGGCTGGTGGCACAGCCTGCTCCGGCTGTGCTTCTCAGCCGCCTTGTCCCCAGGCTGGCTAGCAGTGACACTGACAGCTTGTCCCGGCTTGTCCCGAGTTTGGGGTGCAGCAGCAGCGAGGGGGACCAGCCCAGCTCACATTAGAGCACAGGTACACTCAGGTTAGAGATGCACGTCTTGTGAAACGGCGCTGCAGAAATAATGATCTCATTTCTGCCATCTATAAATAAATGAAGGTGAAAGGGCATGTTTCCTATTCCCAGCCCTCTGGAGGCTGGATTAAGATTGAGAGCTGGCTGGCTGATGGACAGAGATCTTTTAAATATTAACAGATCTTAAATTATAACTTCACAGTGACTCTCATCTAAAAGGTCATGGTACAAAATATACCACTGAGGACATTAGCAATATTAGTTACGTTGTTTTTTATAGTCAATATTATTTTTCTGCCTGTTGAGGGTGCCAAGGGGGATGTGGATTCCAAGGGAAATGGCTCACCTGCAGGTTTAGGGTTTTTCTTACGCAGCTAGCGTGTGAGCTGGAGTTCTTGGGGACTCCATCTCAGACACTGAAGCCTCCTGTTAGCACCTGTCCTGGGTCCATCCCGTTACCTGGGGTAGTTTGTTTGGGGGCTTCTCCATTCAGGTGGGACACAGGGGCTGTGGCTCACATGCTGGTGTGAGAACTGCTGCTCCTGATTTGGCATCTGTCCTGTTAGGTGCTCATCCCACTTGGCCTTATCACCACAGGGATCACAGCAATTATCAGACTTGCCTAACTGATGTTTGTGAGTTAATTTATGAGGTACTCAGAGATCCTTCTAAGAAGCAGTAGCAATGCTTGGGGCCATCTGCTGTGACTCTTGGTCACAAGGCACCTCCGAGTGATGGATGAGCTGTAGTTTGAAGACTTACAGTTGTTACCACGGGGTCACTTTTAAGCCCATGATGTCTCTCTAGCTGGTAGCAAAGGATCGTCCTTGGAGCAGTGTTGCCCACTCCTGTCCCTGATACCTGGTGCAGCAGGGAGGGTGATCAGTGCCAGTGCAAAGCACCGTCGCAGGGGGTTGATACTGCATGGCTTTGTGGAGCTGATGCTCTCGCAGCGCTGCTGGGGGCACAGGTGGCTTTATGTGGCTGGAGGTGCTGAGGATTGCGGTGATGGTGGCAGCCTCTGACCACGGAGCTGGGCTTGCTGGCATTTTTCTTCCGAGCACCTCCATCGCCATGGAGATTGGTGGTGATGCTCTGCCCACGCAGGAGGAGGCTTGGCCACAGCATGGGGCTCCCTGGGTACCCATGGCCAGCGGGGGCCCTGAACAGGGCTGGCTGGGTACGCGTGGCTGGCATTGGGTGAGCAGTGGGTGCCATGGCCCTGCCAAAACTGCCAGCACAGCGGGGACGGGAACCCTGCAGCCATGGCAGAGGGGATCTATAGGGGGTTTTCTGCTTCAAAGCAGCCCTGGGCAGTCGTACGGGGGCTGGATCTGGTGCTCCCGCTGAGCCTCTAGCGTGATTTTCCACGGCCGAAAGCTGCTGGCGAGTTCAGCCAGTGTTTCCCTGCCTCTCCACTGATTTCCTGCGGCTGCGCTGCGTTTCAGCCCGACTCGCATAGGGAAGGCTCGGGGAGGGGAGACACTGGGAGCGCTTGGAAAATTACATTTAAGACGAAGAGGAAGGAGATAGGAAGCAGCTTATCTGGCTTTGTTCTAATAGCTGTAATCACCTGAAGCGCAGCCATGAGCCTTGTTTCGCTGGGGGCTGTGCAGCCCTGCTGCGGCGGGAGCTGCTGGTGCTGGCTCTCCCCTCTGCACCGCGCTGGCTTTCAGTTCATCTCGGATGGCAGCTTGCACTTTGTTCCTGCTTGGAACAAGTGCCCTCGTTGGGCTTTATTGTACAAAAGACGACATTTACATAAACAGGGGAAGGGTTGGTCACAAGGTGAAGATGAGGCGTCTGGAGGGGAAGCCAGTGGCTTAAATACCCAAACTCGCTGTCCTCAAACTCGCCGTGTCACCAGCTACCGAGCCTGAAAGGAAGAGAAAAGCAGAAGTGTGATTTTAACCTTTTTTTTTTTCCTCTTCTGACAGTGTTTTCAGGCACTGCCGCTACCCCCAGTGCGCGGGACCTGTGCCGAGAGGAGGAGGGGATCTCTGCAAAGTAAGCTGGGCTTTTTAAAGGCTTTTCCCTTGTTTTGCTTTCCAAGAGCGGTGGAGGCGGTGACCCCGTGCTGGGAACCACAGGGGCTCCTGTAGCCCCACGCTTTTCCCTAGCTGCAGCTTTCTCTTGTTACCGGTTGCCGATGGGAGTGACGGCAATATTCTGTGCTTCATTTCTTCCCGGTTTCAGTGACACAATGAAAGGCAGCAAGTGCTCTCAGGTGGGCTCCCGAGCCCCCCTGCTCTCCCGTATGCAGTTTATCTGTTGCACAGTGTTCAGCTATGCAGAGATCAAAGATCGTTCTGCAGAATGTTAATGAAACGAATAATGGTGTGTTGTTGGGGCTTGAAAAAGGAAATGAGGTTTAGCTTTGAAAAGGAGGTGCCTGGTGGAAATATTTACACTATTCCTCAGATTTCAGTTATTCCTATTTTCCCTGGGGAACGAGAGCAAACCTGGCTGCTGCTTCAGAGGTTCTGTTGTTTTAATTAGTCATGTGTAAGGTGGGGGGGTGTGATGGCGTTGGAGGGGGAGAGGATGTGACTGCAGTGATTCTGTTCCTGTTTTACGGCGTAATACACAACATGCCACATACTGCCATGAGTCTTGCAGGAAGCAGGAATTAATCTGCCTGTCCTGGCATGGAAAAACGTGGGGTAGTGATGAAGGGTGATGGCTGGTGGGAGACCAGCCATTGAGGAGGTTTCGTTTTATGAATGTGTGTCAGAAGAGCTAGTGCCGAGGAGAAGGCAAGGCGTAAGTTGGTTAGCAAGGGGAATTAGAGGAGATGTGTGTGCCACAGGGTTTAATCTCTTAATAAGAATAATATCTCCCAGCTGCTCGTGGTGGGGCGAGCTCAGGGACTAGAATGGTGTTGCATGAAGAGTTATCCTTGTACCATGTGTCCTCTGCCTGCCTCATCCCCCGAGATTTGTCTGAAGGATGCTCGGGAGCCAGGATGGGAGCCTGTGATTGACAAGTGCAAAACATCCGTGGGGCAGGACAGAGGATGTGGGGGTGGGGATGGGTTTGTCTCAGCTAAGGGCTAGTCACCAAGGAGTGCCCTGCCAGGTTGTTTCCTTCAGCCCCCGAGCCCATTAATAGGCTCTGCTCCCTTGATTAGTTCATGCCTGTGCGGAGTGGTAATGAGAGCCAGGCTCAAGCCATCAATTCTAGGTCAGTGGTTGTGTGCTGGGGATTTGGGACCGGGCAGGGGGAGGGGAGCTGGAGATGGACGCCTGCCTCCGAAAAGAAATGTAGAGCCTGTTTAATACAGCCCTGCCTGCACCGCTGGGGTGCTGTGCTGCCTGTGTCTGTAAACTGCCCCAGGGGCCATGTTGTGCTTTGTTGCCCCAGATGTGGTCCATGCCTGTTAGGAGGCTCATTGTGTGTTTGAGACGTGCTCTCCTGAGAGGTTAACATTGCGGTATTAGATCCATCAAGGAGCCGAATGAAATAATTGAGTTATTAAAAGTCAAAGACTTTTCTGTGGTCCTGCCTGGTATCCTTTGCCTCTCACAGAGCTGCTTTCCTCTCTCCATGGGAGCAGAGGGGGTGTACTACGTATAGCATTGACTTGTCATAATTTCTGATGTTTAATGTCTGATCCTTCCCTAAATGCAGGCAGGTGAGGCCGGGAAGTAAAAAGCAGCATGGACCTGGATGTACTGAACATGTTTGTCATCGCCGGTGGCACCCTGGCCATCCCCATCCTGGCCTTTGTGGCCTCATTCCTTCTCTGGCCCTCAGCGCTTATCCGCATCTACTACTGGTGAGTTCTTAGCCTGGCTGCTCTCATTTCAGCCTGGGGGTGGAATTACTGCTGCTCCCCAGCCGGTCCCCACACGCACGCAGGCGCATGGGGCTTATTGCAGAGAGCCCGTGGGCAGCGAGGCGGTGTGGACAGAGGGGGGTGTTCCTGCCCATGATGGCGATTGCAGTGGGTGAGGTGGTGTTTCCAGGGGCTGTGTGGGGCTTTGAGCATCTCTGGGAGAAGGAAAGGGCACTTTCTCAATGCATTTTTGCTGCTGAGGCTTATGAGTGCAGGCTCGGCTGGGCTGCCGGCGTCTTGCTGTCCTGCAGCGGGGCTCCTGGGCTGCTGAAGCACCAGCTCGCAGGATGTCTCTGAGTTTCCTGGGTTGTTTTCCCCAAGGACAGGGCTGTGGGTGGGAAAAGCGTCATCGCTACTGCGGGCCCCCAGCCTGGTGACCTCCCACCTCATCAATGCAGCTGTCAGCAAGGGTGTCCTTGGCTCTGCCGCGGGTCCCTGGGCTCATGTGCTGCCTCATGTGCTGCTCAGCTGGCAGGGACTTTTCCCTTGCTAGCAGTTACAGATAAGGCTTTTTTCATTTTCTCCCTCTCTTCTGGGCTGCAGCAGCAGAGAAGATGGAGTGATGCTTTTCCTGACCCCCTTGCATCTCATCCTTTCTGATACCAGGAGGCAGGCTTTACATCCTCCACCCTTCCATCCTCCTCTGTCCCTGGAAATTGGTGATAAGCGTGTTGGAAGCTTTCCTGTCTGGATTTGTTGCAGGGGAAAGCTGGAATAAGGCTCCCTTCAGAAGCTGGGGCAGTGTCTCATCGCCCGGCGCAGGCAGCAGCAGGCAGCATGGCAGGCTGCCCTCACGTGCTGCTGGCAGATGGTGGTTCCTGCAGTTTTGCTCACGGGGTGTTTCCAAATCAAAGTGACCTCCTGTGAGAGGAGGACGTTAACCCACCCAAGCGCTCATGCAGCAGCGTGATGAAGCCTGTTTCTAGCGGCACGTTTATTACCAACCGTTTAATCAGAGCATCTGGAGGCTTGAGAGAGGAGGGAGGATGGGATGAAAACCCCAGTGATTAGGTTGACACAGGGAAGAATTTCTTCCCATTGTGTGTTGTATGGGTAGGCCAAACGTTGTTCTCCAAGGGAGAGCAGGGTCCTGCCAGGGACATCTGGGCTGCTGCCCAGGGCAGATCTAGATGGTACCAGGTTTGTCAAAGGGTGTTTTTGTTTCCCTTTGGACATAGAAGTGGTCGGTGGAAGCCAGGGAGGACCCTGATGGGCTGATGAACCTCATGGGTTCAGAGGAGGATCGCCAAAGGGATGCTGCTGCACCAGAGCAGAGCCTTTGGAGGTCCACAGGCAGGGGTGGCAGGACAGGGAAAAAGAGGTACAAAGGGATGAGTTTTGAGGAGCTGGGTTGAAAGGGAGGTGAGGAAGACCCTGTTGCCTTGTCCTTCAGGGTTGCAAGTTAGGGGCTGAATGTAAATGCACCGTGGGTAGGTGGGTCTGTGTTCAGCTGAGGGAGGGAGTGTGTGAGTGGAGATCAGCAGGGATGTTTTCTTTCGAAGGGTAAGGTCCCTCATCTCTTTTTCTTCCAGCATTTCTGGAAGGATCAGCTCCTTGTGGGAGTAACTGTGATGTTGTGTGTGCAAATGGGCTTCTCTATTCTTTGGGTCATTGGAAAAAGAAGAGTGGGCTTGCCCTTCACTCTTCCTTTCCTATTTGTTTCTTTCTGAGTCACTTTTATGGGGGGAAAGTTGTGTTTCCCCATCAGCAGAGGCAGGAGAGAGGGCAGGCAGCATTCCTTGCTGCTCCCCCCTTTCAGCCCCATGCAGCATCGCTCCTGGCAGCTCCCCGGGGGTCCCTGGGGACACTTCTCCCTTCTCCCACCACTCGCTGCCCCTCTTCTCCTCCCTGCCGCTGCTCTGCATGTCCTCAGCTGGCTCGGGCAAGGGTCACACTGGGCTCTGTCACTGGTGGCCTCTCTCCCTGCCCTGCTGCTAATGCGCCTCCATGACGTCCAGGCTGACCCCGGCCCTGAGCCTGCCTGCACTGCTGCCAGGGGTTAATCGGTTGAGCCGCTGCCGCTAAGCGTGTTAACACCTTGCGAGGGATCAGTTCAGCTTTGCACAGATTATTTTGCCTTCTCCTGAATTGATCCATCAGGATCAGTTGCTAAAAATGTTATCGCCCATCGTCAGTTTACACCGGTGCCTTTGAGGCGAGGGCTCTTAAGACACTTATTAGGGAGAAATTCACCTCTCCTTGTAGGACCAGCCCAGAGCTGAGATGCTGCTTAAGTCCCACTAACTCCCTCTAAAAAGAGATTATGCTAAAAGAGGATTGCACTATGCATAAGCTTTGAGTGGGCAGAGAGCTAGGACAGCCCAGCAGCGTTGGTGACCTTGCTCTTGTGTCTCAAATAAATACTGGTATCACATATAGAAGTATTTGCCAGCATCTTGCCCATCAGGAGCAGCCCAGCAGTTGTCTTGAAAAGGTTTACATCTGAGCACAGGGGAAATGCTGAGGAAGTGAGCCTGTTCCCCTGTCTTGGACTGCACACACACACCATGTGTCCAAAGGGTCACCTGTAATCTCTGTCTGTGTTCCCTCTGGGCAGTAGTTTCATTGCATCCTCTTCAAGCAGGCTGCAAGCACACGCTGCAGGAGCCATGTGCCTCTGCTTTCAGAGGAACAGCCTGGGCTTCCCTGGGGTTAACCCAGGATTGTTTGACCCTGTGTAACGATGGTCCCTCTGGTCCTCTCTGTGTGTATGAATACATTTGAAAGATTGTATAGTTGTCATTTTGGACCTGGGTCTCTGTGTTATTCCTGGGTAACACAGTTGTTTTGGCTGGGATTCAATATGCTTGTCTGTGGGGTGATGTTCTGCCACTGATGTGGGACTGTGTCCAAATAAACCTGTGACAGATCCACCTTACCCACCTAGAACAAGTGCCTCCCTTGGCCTGCCCATCCTGCACACTGCCTCTCTTCTCATATCAACCTTTGGGCATTTTCAGTTTCAGGGTTGCTATTTTGGCCCATTTCCACTGCCAAATCAGTTGGTTAGGGTCTTTTTATAAGTTTTAAATAAGAGTGTCTCCAGAAGCCATCTGCAGTGCAGCCGTGAGTAACCAGCTGCCAGTACTGCACCTGTAAGGGACACATGTAATCCAGGGACCAGATGCTCAGGATTAGTCCCAGTTAGTCGCAGACAGTCCCATGACATGAGCACAACCTAACTGGCTTTAGCTAACTAGCCAGCCTGGAGCCTGAGTTTGAGCTTGTCACCTGGTTTCTCTTGCCACTGGGTCCTGGTCTTGCCTCACTTATTGGTATTGTTTTCTCCTTGTTTCCAGGTACTGGCGCCGAGCCCTGGGTATGCAGGTTAGATACACAACCTACGATGACTATCAGTTCTGTTATTCCTATAGAGGGAGACCTGGATACCGACCATCCATCCTGATGCTACATGGGTTCTCAGCCCATAAAGACATGTGGCTGTCCATAGTGAAGGTAGGACTCCATTTCTACCACGTTGCTACTTAGTGAAAGTTGATGGTCCTGGGCTGGGGGGGAGGTGGGCACCCAGTGGCTGTGTGTATGGGATGTGACGATTGCTGTAACATGCTGGAAACACCATTCTTATCTCTGCGCTCATTGCTTGTTGGATCCCTTTCATCCCTGCGACGTGCAGAGCTGCAGGCGAATGGCAGTATGTACCTGCCTCCTCCATGGGAGCAAGTCTTGGCCATGGTTTCTTGTCATGTCATCCTTGGTACATCAGCTGACTTACAGTGGTGCATGAGTAACCAGGGGCTGCTAGGAGGAGAGCGACTCCCTGCTCCCACCCATGGTCGCCAGTTCCCATCCCTGGGCTTCGCAGCAGATTTCCTGCACCAATAACCACCCCTGGTTTGTTTCTGCAGTTCCTGCCAAAGAACCTGCACTTGGTGTGTGTTGACATGCCCGGGCATGAGGGCACAACCCGCTCAGCCTCAGATGACTACTCTATTAGTGGACAAGCTAAGAGAATACACCAGGTAAAAGCCCAGCATTGCATTGCCTCTGCAGATGGATGCAGGGACTTGAGGGTTGTAGGGACATGAGGGATGTTGCCTCATGCAGCCCCACTCCTTTCCTTCCCAGGCAGGCAGAGCCACCAGCCTCAGACCTTTGAGTTGCATTTCTCTAATGACCCCATGCTTGCTCTCCCCTAACAATGCTCCTTTTGCTCCCCTGCCAGTTTGTGGAATGCATCAACCTGAACAAAAGGCCCTTTCATCTGGTTGGCACGTCCATGGGGGGAAATGTTGCCGGTGTCTATGCTGCTCAGTACCCAGAGGACATTTGCAGCCTGACCCTCATCTGTCCTGCAGGTGGGCAATGATGGGGAGGTGAGATAGGCAGAGGGCACACAGGAGCCGGTGTGAAAGTCCAGAGCAGTGCTGGAGGCACATGAGGCTTTTAGGCTTTTGAACTGATTTGTATTTACAGTCTGAAAATCTCTGCAGGGCGCATGAGGAAATCACAGCCTTGTCCTGACTGCACTTCTCCAAGACTTTGGAATTTGCCCCACTGTGCCTTTGTGTGACTCGAGCTGGGACTAGGGCAAATGGCACAAATTCTGCTCCGGGGAAAATGCCTTTCCCCTTTGATGGCAGGCCTTTTACATGGCATGTCTGCAGCCTCTCGGGTCTGGAGGGGGAACCTGAGCAGCCTCCCCAGTCTGGCCTCTTGGGAGCCCTGGTGTGCTGGAAGGCTGGGGCTTCAGGAGCCAGAGAGCTCTGTCCCCACATGTTTGGGTGCTCTGAGTGGGAAGAGTGCTTGGTGGCTGGGTATGGGTCAGTGGGTTGCCCGTGTGCCCATGCAGCACCTCTCCATCCCCACCATCCCCTTGACCAGGGGCTTGGGAAGCCTGGGCATGATGTGATACAGGAGGCATGGGGAGCTTCTCTGCTGGGAAGGGCTTTGCTGCATCCCGGTTGTCATGGCAGCTCCTTCCCCCTCCCACACACGGAAAGCGGCTCCAGATAAGACACAAGTAATGAAGCACAGTGAATGTTACCTAGCTACCAGGCTCTGGGGGTGGCAAGGTGGGGGTAGGTCCTCTCTGGAGAGGGGTTAGCTGCCTGCTTGGATCTTTCTGGATGTAAAACCTCTGTGTGGGGGCTGCTGTTAGCTGTGGAGTTTAAGCTGCTGGGGGATTTTCCCCACAAGTGGTGCCTACAGAAAGCATCTGAAATTTTCTGTCTGAGCCTGCACTGGGTGGCTGGGTGGGTATGGGCATTACTGTTTGCATCTGCTGGCTACATGGAAAATAAGTGCTATAGTTTTCGCCAAAGAATTAATGAATGTCTCCAGGGAATATACCTCGTGTTGCTTCGAGGGGCTTGGCAGTGTCAAGCCCTGGAGCATCTCTGAGTGCACATTGAGGTGCTCTATGTACAGGTTGTTTTCCTTCCCCTGTTTTTCACTGTTATGTACTTTTTAATGGGTGACAGGCAGTAGGCCAGAGACAGGGATGAGGGAGGTTGGTACAGCGATGCTCTACCTCTGGGGGTCTCATATGGGTTTTAGCTCATGCCCCTTTCCTCCTTCAACACAGGTCTGCCAAGTACCACCGACAGCAAGTTCATTAAGCAGCTCCGGGAGCTGCAGGAGTCCGAACTCATCGACAGGATCCCTTTAATTCCCTCGACACCCGAGGAGATGGCGGACATGCTGAAGCTTTGCTCCTATGTGCGCTTCAAGGTGCCGCAGCAGGTGAGGAGCCCGGGCTGGCTGCAGCAGCTGGGAAACGGGGGGTCAGAGGTGGAGAGGGGTTTGCTTCTCCTGGAGCCTGCACGGTGGGAGGTGAGGTGGTGCCAGGGCTGGAGCCAGTGCTGCCATTCCCCTGTCACCCGGGTGGGCAGCACAGCCCTGGCACCACTTCCATTGCTTTCCCTTCAAACTCACTTTTCCCACTCCCTCTGCCAGCGCCCACTGAAATTCTTCCTTCCCTGAGGTCTTTGACAGCGAACTGGGATGTCAAAGGGTTTTTTTAAGCAAATATGGCTGGCAGGAAGCATTAAATAACTAAAGCGGCTGTTGTCCGGCTGGAAAGCAATTGTTTGTGGCTTTTTTAGCAAAAGTGATGGAAATGTTATTCCTCTATTGTCAGGGAAGAGGAACTTGGCGAGGAGCTGGCCATTAAGCTGGTTTTCCTTAGGAAGTCTGGCATGAGTAGATTGGAGAGTAAGAAAAAACCATGAGGGAACACCCTTCTGGCAAAATAATAAGGGAAGCAAGAAAAGCACGGTCATGGCTGAGGTGTGCTGCTGGCTGTGGGTAGCCGGCCTGGGGGAGAAACTCGGGTCTGCATCATAGAAGGCAAAAATACTTGTTGCTGAAATACGTGTTACTTAAGCGCAGTTGTGAGAGCCAGATGTGAATAGGAGGATGCTTGTGCTGGGGCCAGGCTGTGCAGGGCACATCGGGGCGGTGGGGGAACGGTTCCCGCTGCCTGCCACGCTCTTGGGTGCTCTCGGGAACACTCAGCCCCGCACGGGTTCCCCCTCAGCAGCTCTCCTCTGCTCCCCTGCAGATTCTCCAGGGCCTCGTTGATGTTCGCATCCCACACAATGATTTCTACCGGAAATGTAAGTGTGTCCAGCAGCCCCTCACTGGGCTTTCCAGCCAGACCTTGGGGTGTGGGGACAGGCTGCCCCTGCCCCGTGTCCCCTGCTTGCTGCTCAGCCCCAGCACACCCCTGCTGCCTTGCTGAGGGTGGGAGGGGGCAACATCAATAACAGGTTTGGGGATGTGCCTTGGTCACTGGTAGCAGTGCACTGCCAGCCCCATGGGCAGTGGGGTGGCTGCTTCACCCTCACCCTCCCAGCTGGGTACATCTGTGCTAATACCTACAAGGAGATGGGCTTGGGAGAGGGTCCTTCCACAGCAGGACTTGGTGGCTATGCAAGGACAGCCCACTGGGGCTCTGCACATCATCCCTGCCTGGGTTTCCCAGTGAGGGGACACTAGTAGGGCTGACCCACAGGGACCCTGTGAAAAGGGAAGGCAGAGCATCCCCCTGGTCGGACTGACTGTCCTCTTGTCCCCTCCAGTGTTTTTAGAAATCGCAAATGAGAAATCCAGGCACTCTCTGCATGAGAACATGAGCAAGATCAAAGCGCCAACGCAGGTCATCTGGGGAAGGCAGGACCAGGTATGCAGCCCCCTTCTCTTTACCCACAGCACCACATTTCCATCTCTCCCTGTGCCCACCCACAGGGGCGCAGTGTGGCACATGTGTGTCTCTGTCCCCTATGCAAAGGGCTCTGTAAATACAGAAGTGTAAGCATTTGCCATGACTCCTTTGCACTGAGCTGCCAGTCAAAAAACATCTAAGAGTTCCTGGCTGTGTGAGGAGACAGACACCATGCAGCCTCCCTGCCCTATTCCCAGGCATGGGTACCATGGGATGGAGCTGGCATCACAATGATTGTATCCACATCGCTGCTCAGCATCTCACTTGAGCTTGCAAAGTCACCTCCAGTGGGGTTTCTATGGTGTCCAGCAAAGCCCAGCTCTGCCTGTGGGACTGACTATGTTTTCCCCTGCCATCCAGGTCCTGGATGTTTCCGGTGCCAATGTTTTATCGAGCGCTATCCCAGACTGCCATGTATACATCCTGGAGAACTGCGGGCACTCGGTGGTGGTGGAGCGGCCCCGCAAGACAGCCAACCTCATCCTGGAGTTCCTGGCACTGCTGCAGAGCACGGACAACAACAAGAAGCAGGCATGAGCGCGGCGGATAGCCAAGCACCCATGCTGGGTCTTTTAAATTGTAAAGTACTGCAGCTTTGATAAGTTCTCAGGGATCTTGTATGAATCGGGTTGAATGTGCCAAAGTCCCTGAGGAAGGCAGAATCAGAACCACTGAGACCTAAACCTATAGCACCGCCAGCACAGCGACCTAGGGGTCATTGAGCATCCTCCATAGATACAGGAATGGAAGCAGAATCTCTCCCTTTTCTACTTAGAGATAAAGTAGAAACGAGCTGAAATCACCAAGCGCTAGCCATGCCGTGTGCTGAAGCTCCTTACGCAGTGGCCCATCTTACCCAAGTTACCAGCACGTAGTTGTTAATGACTTTTACCTAAACTATATAAGTGTAGGAAGGTGGAAGAGTCCTGCACCGAGACTTAACAATATTTCTACTACTTAGAGTCCCGTCACGTTGCATGCTGCTGTGCTGTAAGAGAACCCCAGTGCTCCAGGCGTCTGCTCGAGTGCTCTTTGTGTAGCTCCTTAACTCGTGATTTATGCAGAAAACAACAGAAAACTTCATGCGTAGGAGTCCAATGACTGTATGTGCAAAATGTTTACACTTTGAGTGGGTTTTCTAAATCCCTGAACAGCTCCCGTGTATATGTAATGCCTTAACATTGCCCAGGGTACGGCGTCCACGCACAGCCTGCCTTGCCCATGGGATGGTTCCCCCTGAGGGTGAACATAGAGAGTCAAAACTTGGGATGCAGATGGTGGCATGTGAGCCAGAGGGATGGAAACGACCCGGGACAAATCGGCCCCCGAGCCTGAGTCAGCAATAAGCCCGTGGGCAGGGTGCGAGTCAGTAAACTCCGGCAAACTCTTGTCTCAGCTCTTCCATCACGTCGCGCTGCTGAACACGTTGATGTAAATAGCGACTTCCTTAATGAATTCCGTGAATTCTGCGAACGGCAGCGTCGCTGAAACCAGGCGTGAGGGCTGGAGCAGGCTGTGTGTGTGCATAGCGCAGGGGATGCGGGCTCCTGGGCTTCCTGGGTGGGGAGGAGGGGGGCAGGTCTCCTGCGAGGCTCTGGGCGGTGGTGTGGGAAGGTTCGGTGTGCTTGTGCGTCCTCTGGATGGGTGTAACTGCTGAGTGATGAATTGTAGGTGGAAATGGGAGATGCAGACAAGATACACTTTGCAGCCTGCGAGGAGACAGGTCCTGCATGTCCCTGGGTGAGACACTCACCACGGGGAAGGGGCTGGTCCTGTCTCTGGCAGGACTCAGGCTGTTGGAGGGCATGGAGGTGCATGGGTCTCTTGAAGGCGAATCAGCAGATGGCATCACCCCCAGTGCTCCTCGGGGCTGACACCCCTAGACCAGAGCCCCTCCGACTGGGTGCGCAGGCTTGCGGTGCTGACAGCCATCTTCGCGACGTCTCTCTGAGGTCCCCAGATCTGTACAGGTATCTGAAACTCCCTGTCAGCTTCTCTGCTCTTTTTGAGAGAAGAAGCATTGTTCTTTTAGCAGATCAGAGGTTTGCTGTTATTGCTTGGTTATTGTTTCTACTACAGGAGTTGATCTAAAAAAAAACAAAATAAAAATTGCTGATAGTTTTATGTGGTTAAAGCCAGAAAATGTTGTTTGGTATCTCTATGGTTTCTCATATGCCACAGATTGCTGTATGCAAAGGATTTATATGGCTATTAAAATCTAGTGATTGAAGGAGTCTGCTATGCAATGATTATTTTTTCCTTTGAGGAATGGATTTAAGGTGAAAGAGAGTAGATTTTGATTATACATTGGGAAAAGGCTCTTCCCTGTGAGGGTGCTGAGGCGCTGGCACAGGGTGCCCAGAGAAGCTGTGGCTGCCCCATCCCTGGCAGTGCTCAAGGCCAGGTTGGACGGGGCTGGGAGCAAGCTGCTCTAGTGGAAGGGGCCCCTGCTCGTGACAGGGGTCGGAACTGGGTGAACTTTAAGGTCCCTTCAACCCAAACAGTTCTGTGATTCCATGAATAAGAGGGCTGTGGTGTGGCGTGATGCACAGCACAGGGGACTTGCTCTGCTGGAGGAAAGTCCTCCCCACATTTCTGGGAGATGCAGGTTTTGCCTTGAGCAATGGCGAGGAGATGGTGAAGAGCAGGAAGGCTCGAGGCTCATCTCTTCAAACACAATACAGATTTTGCTTTTTTCCCTTTTATTAAGAGGAGTCTCTAAACACTGGAGAAGCAAGATAGCGTGGTGCTACTCCTCCTGACTGAGCCCATGCCAACCCAAGCTGACCCCATAGCATCAGCTGAGCCCACTGATCAGAGGTAGAGAGACCCAGTAACACTGGCAGCTGTTCCCAATAGCCCCCATTTCCTGCTGGGAGCCATAAGAGCCCACACTCCGCAAAGGTTGCTTTCTTAGCACTGAGCCCTGCAGTGAGCCCCAGCAATGGCCCGGGTAAGGCTGTGTTCCTGGGGCAGAAGAAGGTGCTGCTGCTCCAGGTGGTTTTGGGGGTCCTGTGGACAGAACTGGGGGAGCCAAAAGGAAACCACTGGATCCCAGTCTTGGTGAGCCTGGCACTGGAACCTGCACATAGCCTGACCATGCTGGCATGCCAAGAGGGAGAGGTTTGCCTTTTGTTTTGTTGTTTGGTGTTTAAGTGTTGTTTTCCTTGTAGTTACATGAATAAACTGGGTCAGTACTGAGGATGGGCTGGGTTGCAAGGCTCATGGATGAAGAGACTCATATGAAAGCTAAGTAAGGAGTCAGCCCTTGGCTGTTATGGGTCTTGCCAAGACTCATTCACTGTATCCTGAGAAAAGGCTGCAAAACACAACAGGGCTGGCTTGCTGAGAAACTTACCGATGCCTTGGAGCAAGCTGTTCTGAGAATCCAGGTCCATGGTGGTGCCCATCACCCTGCCCCTGGGGTGTCAGTGGGAGCAGAAGGGCAGAGCTGGTGGCAGCAGCTCCTGGCACTTTGTATGTACCCAGCTACTGCTGAAGAGGAAAATACGGTGCCCTCAAAACGTGGGTAAAATCACTTCATGCTTCTGCTTTCAACCTGCCTCTCAAGATTCCAAGCTCCAATCTCTGTTTTCGCCAGACTTCCTTCTGAAGGGCTGCTTCTATGGCCATTAAACAAGTAAGTCTTGCTCTGATGAAATGCAACTACGTGAAAGCCACCTTATCTTCTGCCTGCATAGAAACAGGGGTGAAAAAAACAATCAAAAAATCAAGGATGCTTGATTTGTCTTCAATTTTACTTTAAAATGAAATTATTAGTGATTTCACAACTCTGAAGAATTATGTGAACCTGAATAGTTTGCCCTGACAGACACTGGAACAGATGATCTTTAAAGGAAGAATATAAGATCAAGGGCCAAAATAAAGGACAATGTTAATCACAGGCTGAATGTACATATAATTAATATATAATACATGTTATATAACTATACCAATATATTATATTTTATGTATTATAAACAATGCATTTATAAATACTTATATATTTACATGTAAATATGTATAAATATATATCATATTATTACATATATGACTATATAATATATAAAAAGATATATTTATATACTTATAAATATATAAAAACATATATAAATCATATACAAATATAGAACATTTATAAATTTGTTTTTAAAAATATATATAAAATATGAATTATTATTTATATACTTATATATATTTTATATATTTGTAAGTATATATAAGCATTTATGTCTGAATATATATAACTATAAATTATTGTTATAATTGTATGAAATATGAATATGATATTTATGTATAGATATGAATTATTACTACAATTATATACAAAAAGGTTTAGATTTATAAATATCCATATATAAAAATAAGAATAAAATATATTTTAATTATATTTATATTTAAATAATATTATATAATATTAATATATTTTATTATTATATGTTATTAGTATATTTATATATTATAATTTATTACAATATCAATATATAGTAAATATATTAATTTTATATAAACTATTAAGAGTAATATATAATTATATAATATCATATATTATATGTACTTATTTTATATACGTATTTATAACCTGTGATTACCATTGCCCTTTATTTTGGCTCTTGATCTTTTATTCTGCCTTAAAAGATAATCTGTTCCAGTGTCTGTCAGGGCAAACTGCTCAGGTTTTATTTATATATAAACATAGATAATTTTTTATATATAAAATTAGGTATTTTATTTATATATTAAAAGTTTATATAAATATATATAACTATATATAAACATATTTTTATATAGATATATAAAAATACATCATTAAATAAATTTTTATATATAGTTATATATACATATATCTTTAAATATATTTATATATAGTTATAATATAACAGCTATATATTTTAATATAATATCTATATATTTTTATACATATATAAAATATATCTCATATAATACTATAAATAGATGTATAGCATATATATGATATAATGATGTTTAATAATATAGCTTTATAATATATATGTATCTAGGTATTGCTATAATTACATACGAATATTCATAAATATATAAATATGAATATGTATAGAAAATATGTCTTTATATTTATGTGTTTTTATTTATATATAAAGACCACATAAATATATCAAACATAAATTTATATAAATATATATAAATATACAAGTATATAAATATATAGATATATGTTGAGTTATAAAATGTATATTAATAGATCTTTATATATTTTTGTATTTTATATAATATATAGTTATATTTATTGGTATTTATAAATATGCTTCTATAGAAAATGTTTATATAATATATACTAGTATATATAAATATATATAATAAAATATATTATATATAGATAATATATATTATATATAAAATATAAATGTATGTATATTTATAATAATGAACATATAAATACATACAAATAAAAATATAAAATATAAATTTATAGATAAATTATTGTATAATTATGTAATATATAAAATATATAATGTATTATATACCTTTATATACATATAGTTTATATTTATATACATATAGTGTATATTTATATTTACATATAAATATATATCATGTATAACATGTAATATATATATTTTTAAGTGTGTGTGTATGTATATATATATATATATAAAAAACTAACTGGTGCAAGCGTCTTTTGATACTTGTAGAGTTGCTACCATAGAGAGTAAAGCTTTTGCTGAAACTGCACTTCTGGGTTTGTTTTGGTAGTTTAAGAGTAGCTCAAACTACAGTTTTTGTAACAAACTACACAAACGAGATGGACAAGGACTTAACTCGCCAAATGAGCTTCATTGCCAAGGGATTTGTGAAGATGGGTCTTATTAAGGAAACCATCTAATGTCACTTTCAGTTTAAAAGAACCAACACACACACACATACACACACAAAGAAAACCAACCAAGAAAGTGAGTTTTCCAGTTTATTTGTTTGAATTCAGAATCATATCCATACTGGTGCATATATCAGAGGTCCAAGGTAAGTTTTCGTGCCTTCAAATGCATCACCCTACATGCTCCAGTGTATCACTTGTTCCCTTCTCTACCTCAGCACATAGAGATCTGTGATAATCCATGAATGTCTCCTATAATTTCCTCCTGAAGAGATTTGTAACAGACTAATGCAATGAATTAAGCACAATCACAGTTTTTATTGAACATATTCTCTTCTGTCACAGAATTATTCACCTAACTGAAGTGATCCCTTTGGCACCAGTACTGTCTGGTGCTATACTGCACCAGAAGGCAAAGAAGAAATAGAAGTGAAGAGGGAAGTGGGTTAAAAAGGATTAATCTTGGGGGTGTAGCCTAGAGTAAGGATATGAACATGTCCTTTTTGAATCCTGCAGAAGTGTTATAAAAAGGAAGAGTCAGAAAGACCACTGAAGCTACATGTATTAAGTTGAGCTCTAATCATCACTTCCACAGCAGATCTTTGGCTTGTGTTCTATTTATATTTCATGTTTTCTAAGCGTATTCCATGGAAACAGCCAACCAATCAGCTGCCCAAAGTATAGGAAATGAACTGTCAGCTAGAGATACTGCATGAATCTTCTTAAAATAAACAGCTCTGCAGTCAGGACGGCTGTTCCTACAGCTCTGAGAGTTGGGTAGGATACAGTCTACCCACTGAGAGGAAAAAGCCCTGGCTAAGCTAGGCCACAGAATAAAGAGCGTGGCACAGGCTATCATGCTGTGTTGCTGCTTCTCCAGCTTATTGAGCTGTCTTAATAAAAATACAATAAAAAGGCAGCACAACCCCACCAACTTTTCCTGGTGATCTAGAGAAAAATATTCTTGGACCTATAAATCCGTGCCAGCACATTCTCTCTTGCAAGTATGACATTAACCAGAAGAGGGTAGCATAAACCAGCCTACGTTACAATAGCTGAGCTAGGATTTTTTCCAAAGCAGCTATGAAATCTATTTGACAAAATAAGCTCAGTCTCTCCCCTCTGACACAGTACTGGTATTTTTGAAACTGGCATTCTCATTATCTTATTTCTAAGCAATGATTGAGGTGAAAAACCCCACGTCTAACAGAAGGTGGGTAGCCACCTGGCTATTGACTACAACTGGTTGTTCTGCATACAGTGGATGCCAAGGTGACCTTGTGAAGATGCAATGAATTAACAACGAACTAATTTAACAACAACAAACCCCCCTCAATCAAATGGTGTAGCTGAATATGCTTGTTTCTTTGTGGATCATTCTTACTAATAATTTGAGGTAATGAAATATATATGAATATATATATTTCATTATATATATTTATATAGAGACATAAAATTGTCTTCCACTAATTTGATTATTCAATTGTGAAAATGAAATAAGGTGACTAATTAGGCTATAATCAACCTAGTTCCTATGCAAAATAATATCTAAAAAGTAATGTCCCATTAAAGTAATAACAATCAAGAGTCACCCAAAATAGGTAATATTTTATAATTACTTGAAGTGTTTAATTCTTTACAGATAAGGGAAGTGGAAAATATCCAGTCACTTCAATTATAATAGTTCCTCAATCTAAAGCATGACCTAATGTTTCTCTTTTCTTGTAATGGCACATCACTGGACTGGGTTTTACAAAACCAGCCAACTCCTGAAGTAAAAAAAGTCTAAAAAACATTTCATCTTCCTAATTTAAGATTTTTTCCAAAGCATTTGAACCACCACAGTCCCACAAATACCTCAACACGTCTATTCACCCGTTTGTTTGGGTTTTGTTCATCCACAAATGCAAACTCAGATGCTCCTTCAGTGGCTGGGCTTGGACAAGTCACAGGGTGCCTTGAGTCATTCTGAACAGCCGCAGGTTCTTTCACCTGCTTTGTTCTCTGTCTGGCTGAATACAGTTGCACTTGTCAGACACCTTCAAGTTTAGGAGCGATATGGATGCTTCTCAAGGTGCCACCTACCCTACAGACTCTTCCACACTGTGGTCTAACAGCCCGACCTTCATGCAGTCAAGATTTCTCCTTCCAACATTTTAAGTAGGCTCTGGAGTGCCTTAAGGAATATTAAGAGTGGATCACTGGCACTTTGTTTTCTTCTTCCTGTGATTTTTATTCTGTTCTCTCAAGTTGAACTTATTTTTCTGTTCTTTGTACAGCATTTACCTCATTGCACTTTGGTTTAGTTTTCAAGCTAGACAGTAAATGATATTGTATGTAACGTGTTTAAGCAGTTACCAACAACTAAACAACGTGAGATTAAGGAGAACAACAGTCCAAAGGATGAGGAAAAGGAAGGTGCTATGTAACTCCACAGCTAGCCAGTACAACAATTAGAAATGGAGCAGCCCGATTCCCTACAATTCTGCTGTCATCACATTATGCTTACAGTAAAACACATCATTATTTGTCTATCTGAATGGAAGCATTAAATGACCATCAGACATCACAGGATACTAAACAAGGTTCAGACAACATTATCAAGTTATACAGACAAAAGTAAAGGGTAAATAGAGACTACAATTGGTTTTGGACAGCATGAAACATAAATTCGATGTATTTCATCGCCTCACTTGTTCAGATAAAAATGTGCCTTTTGGTCCATAGAAAGCAACCAACTACAGCAAGCAAAACAAAACAATAAAGTAGCTCTGCTGCAACACAGGATTTTTACATCTGCTTTCTAATTCAAGTAAAATTGTTTCTCAATCCATTATGTTCATTCTTGACTTCCTGTTCCTATAAAAAATGACAAGGTTTGAAAGACTTCCACTGTAAAGTATTACTTCATACCTAAAAATACGAATGACAGGAACAATTCTAGAGGTCTTTAAGTGCACAAATGATGTTAGGCTGCCCTCTAAGAGTATTAACTGGCCAAAAGGGAATGATGAAATAAAAGCGAAGGTTTCATTTACATGGGCACCTTCAGGCTTGTTTTTAATAATAGAACTCAAGACTACAAGATAACACCAATAAAAAGTTCTGTGGGACTGAATGATGGCAAAAAATAACCCTATACAATTAGATATATGTATATATTTAAAGCCCGTGCCTAGATCTGTGCTTTTAGACACAGACAACCATCAATTGATAGGCTTCAGCAAAAAGTATTACTCACAGACAAAGCACTGGCGTTGTTGCTGTTGGCAGTTTTCCTTGCACAGTTCCAGAACCACTGTGTTTAAAACAAAAATTATATTCTATGCCCTTATTCTAGTGCTCATGGATAAAAACAAAAGCAGAGTTGTCCTTAATTTTTGACTAACAGCTACGATATCTTAAGGATATCTGAACATCAGAAAATGTCAGTTGTATCTCAGTAATGCTCTTAAGTATTAATTTTAGAGAGAAATTTTTCTCTAGGGACATCTCAAAGGAAAAAAATCAGCTATTCAACAGTGAACAAAAACCAAATAACCATGTCTGCACTAATTATCACAAACACAAAGTTATCTAAATAGAGTGGATTGAAACACATTTTCTGTGCCATAAATCACAAAAAAGCAAGCTATAAAGAAAAGATTTTTTTTTCTTTTTTGTTTATTCACAAAATATTAGTAAATGGTAACGTACAAATTTGCTGAGTTGAGATTAAAACATACATTATACGGAATAGCCAAGATACGCAGCAGAGTACCATTATTCTCAGACTTAAGACAGTGTCTTATAGATGTTCCATTATGTACTCATGTAACTCCACCAGACCGTTAGCTCAGAATACTTTAAAACTAACATGGAACAAGGCAAAAAAATAACAGCTTCATTTTGTGACTGCAAAAGAACAAAACCATTAAAGCATTTTCATGAAACAGAACTGTATAAACTATGTTTCTCCATTTAAAAACCTTAGGTTTTTCCATTCAGCCCTGGGGTGTGGCTGTGAGCATTTCTTCCTGGAGGACACCTGAGGTATTTAACATGGATCTCACAAAATATACCCATGAAAACCAACAAATATTACAGTTTCAGCACCACAAAATATCTCAGTTAAATCTCATGTAGAATTAAGCAGTTATTGACCAATCTGAATATACTCAATGCTTCTTATGTCAGTACCAATGTTGTCTTGGTTTGATTCTTGTAAAATAAAGAATCTGACACTGGCAAATATACAGACAGTATCCAAGGCACTTCTAAATATGGCATTTTACCGGTTTCTAGTGTAGAAATCAATATGCTAAACGTGTAGGATGATTCTAATACTCAGGTCTCTAGTTAAAATACTTTTACTTCCTCCGAATAATACCTACAATAAACTAGGTACTGTACAGATATAGAAGATATGAGGTATTACTCAGCAACCTTCATCTAAAGTTAGGAAAACCAGACCATTACAATTCCAGTGAAAAGAATTACACCAAAATTCATGGATTTCAAAAAATATTCTCTCAACTCCATTGTGAATTCTAACCATCTCTGTACATCAGGCCATATCAGCTAAGCTAAAGAGGCAGCAGTGATCTGTCTGTAAGCCGAGCTACATGTTCCAATAGTTTTGTTTATAATAAAACTGCATTTCCTTAGACTGCACAAGAGTGGAATATGCTAATAATATCACATGTAATAAATAGTTGTAGCAATGAAAGTGACACTTTCTTAAGGGGCTTTCACTTGCTAATAAATATGATAGAATACAAGGCTGTTGCTTTCTTAATTCTTTTAAGCATGATCACCAAGCCTGACCCCAAGGCTGCTAATGCTGGGTAAGCCAAGAGACACACAGAACTAGTCCTCTTTCAGAATATATGGTGAGTGTGGCACCACAACCAGATCCACTCACTAGCTCATCTTTCACTGATAGCCAAAATAAATATAACAAACCAAATCTCAAGCGACCTATAACAAAATTAAAGACATTTTAAATTAAAATCTTGTCCCTAATCCAAAATATACAACAGTTACCATGTGAAGCACAATGAGAAACCTTAACAACATATAAAGGACACTTAGAAAAAATTAACCTCCAAGAATCAATTGTGAAGTATTAAACACCATCTCCTAACGGTGAAGCTGAAAGGTTAAAACTTCCAAAGGTGTCATATGTATGTAGTAGAGAAGCTCATAGACTAACATGGCTTAAATTATTTACTTACTGCTACGTTCAGTGCAATTCAAATTGCGATTGAGTCATGTAGAATACATCTGAGAACTTGCATAAAAAAATCCCCTCTCTGGTAATGTAGTAGTTTTGAGTATGTGGGCTAAGATTAGATGGAATAGGATAAATTCTTTGGGAAACTGAAACCTCCAATCTCTCTGGAGATTTCTGTCTATTCGTACAATAACAGTAAAGAGCACTGCTAACTGGTTACTGAGCAGTGCTTGCCCTATAACTCCTAGGACTGTGTTTTTAAACAAGACAAACATTTTATGTAGATGCTTTCTGAAACACACTGCAAAAGGATGGTAAATTATTTTGGCAGTTTGTGTTTGCCATATCTCTACATTACACATGAGAAGGAAGAAGGCATTTCTGTTTAGAGTGGCATTGTGCTTTTATCTGCTTTAGAACAGATGTTTCCTGTTTCTTCTCAGTGTGATCACTTTTGTTTTCTTTAGTCAGGGTTACTGATACTGATCCAAATCTGCTACTTAGCCTTACAAGAAAGGTAGAATTTTACCATTGTTCTAATGAGGAGACAGTATTTATTTCTTCTTCAGAGCTGGCCACTGTTTGTGAATCCATCCGATTTATGATTCAAAAAGTTCAGAACTGTTTAATTTGTCTTCTTCATACAGCAAAATATTTTCCATGAGCTTCTTTTTTTTATCATTTATCTTTATTTTCCAAGATGTCTCTCTGGCTAATGCTGAAAAACAAAAAAATAAAAGCCCAAATATTAAGAAAAAAATCCACTTGTGTAAGGAGTAGATAATAAAATAATCCAAAAATGGATTAGGAAAAAAACAGCTGATAGAAAAGCAGAAAACATTTTGTAGATTTATTGGTAAAATCATGACTAAGGCAAAAAGATTTACTGAGATGTGTTCAGAAGTAGGAAGAAGAACCTAAGCAATCCTGGAGAAGAGAGTTATTTGTCCCCACTATTGTGATACTAGAGCACTTTTATAAAGGCTTCAGTTATCCCAACAGAAACATGGAAAGTTTTGCACAAACAGCTTGAAGATGGTGTGTGTTTGAATGTTCCTCATACACCCTTCAGATTGATCTTGATTTACCTTGTGAAGAGCATGGAGAGTCACCGGCTGTGTGTTTTTGTTGAGACGTGCTCTGTGCTGTAGATGCTGCTTCCAAGACGTCCTCACTTTTGGCACATGCCGCATTTCTTTCCTGGAGTCCATGTGCAGGCTTTTCCTGCTTGATCCTGTAATCAGAGGCTGCCACATTTTCAGCACTGTTACAGCTAGATAGCTCATCTGTAGATTTTTCTGAAGGGTTCCATATAAAACTACTTAATTCATCTGATTCACAAGGCACCCTTGACATCTGCTCACAGTAAACGTCAGGCAACACAACACCTACTGAAGGTGGGCATGGATTGGCACTGGTCAGGATGGCAGGCTGTGTGCTGTCCTCTTTATTCTTCCCCGCAGAAGGCACGTCCACGCTGAGACTCACTGTCTCATCATCAGTTTCTTCGGGAGTGTTCATGGAGAATCCAGAAGTGCTGCCTCCACAGATGTAATGTTCTCTTAATTTATTTTCAGCCATTTCCATCACTTCAAGAACCTGTTTGTAAGAACAAAACCTGTGAATGCAGAGTAATTCCTGTACTCCTCCTTACACATGTTCTCATATGTCAACACTCCCACAAATAAGCAAGGCATGAATGTGGAGCTTTAGACCTTGCTGTCAAAAAGACTAAAATCTTGGTCAATGTATTTTAAATATTACCTCTGCTGTGTTAGAATTCTTCTTTTTCAGACAAAAGCAGATGGCTGAGGCAAAATCAATAGCAACCTCTTCCAGCAAGTGTCCTGCTTTCTTGTCTAGATATTTAGAGCATATTTCCTTCGCAGCTAGCTTTTCCAATTTTTTTACTTTGGAATATGAGCTTTCTTTTGCTATCTGGATTTCATCAGCAATCATATCTTTCTGTTCAAAGGAAACAGATACATTAGTGAAGGCAAAATGAACACAAACACTCATTTCTGCTTGAATCACTGAGAATATGAATCTTGCCATATATTTGTTATTATTGCTCCTTAATGGTAGGTTTACAGACCTAAAAGCTTTAAGAATCTCCATTCATGCAGCTGACAGAAATGTTTCTTTTCAGTAAAAGGCCAAAGGTTTTCTCTGCATGTGTCTAATGTCAAGTTCACTAAAACAGACCCAGCTCCTCTAGGCCTATGCCTATTTATAGGAATGAAAAAGATACATATAGAGCAGCATTCTTGCTCAGGACTTTTCAAACGTGTTAAAAGAAATCATAAACCTGGGATCCTTTCTTTTCTGAACCTATTTGAACATTGATGAATTGCTTAGAAATAGTAAATAAGAATACTACAGTTTTCCCTTCAAAGGCTTCAATGAGATGGGGAGTCAGGAGCACATCCCACAAGGAATATAGGTGGAGTCTGTTCTCATGAGGATGGTGTTAATGGCATTCAGTGAGCCTGGCCAATTCTGATTGCTGTGTAGTTCTAATCACAGCTTGGGCAAATTGGCCAAGATAGAAATTCCAGACAGTAGTGCAACACATAAGCACCTGATAAACACGATGCTGAGCAACTGTGGTTACCGCCTGCCCACGTTTGCCCATTCAGTTTGGCTCATAAGACATCTTTCTGGCACACAAAAAAAACCATGCAGCAGCATTTCAGCACGAAGTCTTCTCTCTTAAATAAATACACATGTATTTAAACACCAGTATTCTGGAGTACCCCCTACTACGATGATCAGGCCAGTACTCACGAGTGTGGCGTGTGAAATGAGAATAAGTATCCAGCCTCTGTCTAAAGGCAGGTAGGCTACTGATGTTAATGGAACTGCAATATGGCTTCTAAATATCCCTTTTTCAGGGTGTGTACAGCAGACTCCAAATAATGAACTATTTATATAAAATGAACATTCACTTGTGTTGGTATTAGTTATTCCTGCTTCTTCTTACCAGATAAATAGGGTTTCTCGCTTCATCCAGGGCCTTAATCCCTGTCAGTATCTCTGCTAAAACCTAGAAAGAATATATGGAAGATAAAACAATCTGTTCAGAATTAATTCTGTTTTTTAAAGTGTGTTGTGTAGCTACAGAAATATTGAACTGCCTGGGCATTTAAATTTGTATTTTTACTTCAGATGGTTTAACAATGCCAGATCTGGGCAATAGTCATGATTTTGATCTTTATGATTTGTGATCTTTATGGTCTATCTCCAAAGCTAAGTCTATTTTATAGTTAGGTACAAAAGACCTTGTTGAAACTAAGGATGATAAGGAAGTCATTCTACATCTAGATAAGAAATCACACTGGACTATTTAAATGGAAATACCCATATACAGGTTACAAGCCTATCAATTGTTTTACGTGAAATTCCAAATTGACAGGTGATGTCTGTAGCAGTTCCTGTGGCAAATCTGCAAGAATTCCAAGAACCCAACTGCAGGCATCCTGCTGCTCTTTGTATTTGGGTTTTTAAATGATCAGCAAGAACTTTCTCCAGCAAGAAACAATTTTGTTTGTGTTGTTCAAAAGATTCACCTCACTTTGCCAAAATTGAATATATTTGGAGTGTGAACATAATTAGAACCAGTATTTCAACACATTATGTAGTCAGCAATATGAAACTGTCAGCAAATCCAGTCTTATATCCAATTTCCTGTCTAGAAGCACCAAAGAATGCAATGGAATGTGTTAAAAAGGCCACATACCACACCACAGCTGAATGTATCAACTTTCTCTGTTAACTTCCCATGCCTGATAAAATCTTCTGGCAGATAAGTAAGAGAAGCCTGTAGGACTTTGGTTTTCATTGTGGCATATTCTGATTTTTTATCAACAGAATACAGTCGCAGACCTGAATGTCCAAGCTTTGGTGTAAAGTTTTCATCCAACAAGACATTTGAGCTGTGATAAAGACAAATAACAATACTGGTCAAGTAATCACTTTAACTTGAGGCAAAAAATTACAGTTCTACACTTTCAAAGAAAAGCGCTGAAAGCTTCCAGCATTTGGCCTGCTGTGTATGAGTGAAAGGATAAAGAATGGCAGAAAGGGAGAGGGGGAAGAACAAGCAGTCCAGAAATAACCTCAAAAGAATATACTTCCATCACTCAGAAAAGAGATGGCTTAAACATAAAATGGTAAAGACCCCACAGAACAAGAGACAGCAGAAAGACACTGCAAATGGATTTCACAATTGTGCAGGCTTTCAGCCATTAGTGTTAAAGAAATCCTGGAAATAAGAGGTGACGATGGAAGAGCTGAGTTGCCAAATCCCTCACCTTTTGATATTCCCATGAAGAATTCCGGAATTATGTAAATACTCCGTAGCTCGGAGGAGCCCTACAGCAATGCTAATTCGCAACGCCCAGGTCAGTGGAGCAGAATCATCCTGCAAGGAAATGAAGAAAATGGTATTTCATAGAACAAAAGACTCTAAGACATCAGTAGTTTTGAAAACCAAAGGCTTAGCTTTAGTCCCAGTCAAAACTCCTGCTGACCTAAATCAAAAGTTTGGTCCAAGGCAGAATGTGATGATTTCTTGGCCAAGGAAAGAACCCATCCTTGCATATTGTGCTACACATTTTAATGCTATGGGACACAGTGAGATAAGGATACAGCAAAGATCACACTTGCCCAAAGCGTCAGGTACTGCCCATTACTGAGGCACAGCACTGGCTTTGATGGACTGCTGCTCTAAGGTTCCTCTGCCCTACCATCTCCTCTGCAGATGCTCTTTGAATAGGTGTAAACATCTCAACCTGTTCCCTCGTAACCCTTGTGAAACTTCCTAGCACATTATGCCAATGAATATGATTGTAGATTCTACAGAAACAAACCCAAATCCAATGAAACATTACATATGAATAGACACAGTTTCCAGATTCCTTATTACTTGAAAAGGCTAAAGGCTGCACAGCAGAAACTTCCTGTTGACCTGGTCTGCTTTGCAGTTGGAAACTGAAAATGAGCTGCAGCCTTTGTAGAACTTGTAGTCAAGATATCTGGGCAATTTCTGGCTGTTTCTCAGTATTCCAAAGGATATAATTGCTTTTCATACAATAACAGGCCAGGATTTGTAATCACATGTAGATCAACAGACCCAGATTATTTGCTTACTTGACACTGCAGTCTGTTTTGTAGTGATCCATTAGGCAGGTATGGATATATCAGACAGTGCAATCCAGTTTCTACTGAGAAACCCAGCAGTTGCAAGATGTTGACATGACAGCACCTGCAGGCACAGATCAGCAGTGGTTTGCAAATGAAATATGAGCAACACAGAAAATACTCCTGAGCTGGAATAAATGCCTAAATTCAAGGCAACTGGAAATTTTCCTGCAGCTGGAAGCAGAGAATGGCCCTGAGCAGGACAGCAGAGGGCTGACTAATCTAGCAGCAAAGAGAATGGTTAAGTGCAGCCCATTCTGTGCAGGTAGGAGGGATGCGAGCTGCAGAAGACACTGCTTCTTCACCACCTCAAGGGCTGGCAGAGCATGGTGTCTGCTCAGCATTGCCCTGCAGCATCAACAGGAGGCATGCTCTTTACCATGGCTCCAGTAGAGGCTGTGCATAGCCCTCTTATTGAGGGCAGCACAGCACCCAAGACAGAGGCTCATCAGTCTTAAACTAAAGATATGGGCACAGGCCACAAGCAGGAAATGCACTGATTGCACCTGAAAGCCAACACTTACCGAAAGCAAATCTGTACTTCGGTATGGAAGAACCTTTGGGTGGAATCTGGGCTTGTGCATTCCGTCTGAAAAATGAAAACGTGTGCTAGAATGTCAATAGTAATTATTAAAATGTTGCATTTGTAGAGATCTTTCAGTCTCTACATGACAAGCTACCTTGGAAAACCGTCAAGTATCACTGAAGGCAACTTAGGGTCAAACACAACAATTAACTGAAAATTAGAACAAAAACCAGCGTAAGGACACATCTGATTCAATCATCAATGCAAGCAGCTATATTGCAGGCTACTCCCATGGCTAGAGTTAATAACACCAGTCACTTAAGTATCTCTCATATGTGTTTGCTGAATGTAGGTTTACTTACTTTACATCCTTTCCTTTTTACCTCTCCTCTCGTGTAGCCCTTCTGGTTCCTTGCCCATACAATAGTAAACAACAACTGCTAATGCTTCAGAGACAATAATAACATACCCCCTTCAAAGAAAAAGAAAAGGTGGAGTACTTGCCTCTTTCAGTCTTTTGATGATATACTCTATGTTGTTCCTCCGACCTTTGTAGACATCTGCAAAAGTACCCTCACAAATTCTGCTCTTGTCACTGAAACCACTTGTGGCATTAGTAACTTCCCTCTGGGTCCACAAAAGACTTCCACTGGGGAGATCCGTCCTTGTCTCCTGCTGAGGAGCAAGAGAGCTGCAGGGCTACACATGTGCAGAAGAAACAAGTTTCTCTTATGAAAATTCATATGCTTTTTCCTTCTTTCAGTTGTATTTGCTTTTGCATGATCTAAGCAATCACTGTGATTGTTGAAAGAAGCTGTGAAAAGTACTGTACATGTGATGCTTTCCCTTTGTTATAACTGTCTTGATGTGTTTTGCTGTTATAAAACTTTTGCCTTGTAGAAGAGTCAATTACCAATTTGCATTTCCACCTTTCCCAGAAAATAGACTTAACTTTGTTTAAAAGTCCATATATTTTTTTTGAAGTGATGTTAATTTAAGTTACAAAGAAACTAATCTTTATGGCTGGGGCATACACTAAGAAACAGTTGGATCAGAAAGTAGGGCCCCTCATAATGTATTTATGTTCTGGTAGGAACTTCACATCTACTTCTGAAGCATCTGGCATCAGTTGCACAATAATTTGTTGCTTCCAGTGTGGCAAGTCCTAATGTCAATTGTTATTACAGTTCCACTGTAATAACACACAGCTTTCACAACCTTAATGTGCTCCAGACTTGAGAAAACAAAACATTAGCTCCCTCTCAAAAGCTCTGAGACTACTACATTCTTTGTCGCAATCTTCTCTTCTGGCTGGTACCCTTGAACCAGGTTATTCTGGAAGAGCTTAAACTACAATCTTCTTCAAAACAAAACAAAACAAAGGAACCAGGCCAAAACAGCACTATGATGGGACCAGGGCGTGCACATGGATCTGTGAAACACTCAACCCACAGGACAGATCTAGCTGGACTATCTTACAGACAAGAGAGCTGTAGGGAGGCAGGAACAGAGATTGTGATGAAATCATTAGGAACATGGGAAAAGCTTGTCACAGTGAGATGGTTAGGCACTAGAACAGCCCAACCTTGGAGATTTTCAATTGTCAGCTACACCAGGCTCTGGGCAACCTGACTTAAACTTGATACTAGCCCAGGTTTCAGGAAAAAACACATTTTAAGTATATAATCAAACTAATAGAAGTTTGCTGTTCTGACTAGTCAGTGGTATATGTGGTACCGTCCTGTGCTCATAGCAGGAATGTTAAGTCCTCTGCAAAATCTATGCTAGAAATTCCTCCAAAATTATTTGCTATTTGTGGGCATGTTTTCCATGCAATATGGTTAATTTTTAACTTCAGTGGTCCATCACTGGCAAAAATTATGCACACTATAAGTAATCTAATTGAAGCATTAGTAATCCATTGGTATTCAGTCCAAACAACTTGTAATCAACCCCTACTTTTTCACTCTATTTTATACAAATAGAGGGACAAACTTTAACTGAGAAAACATGGAATGTAACGAAGACAATTTTCATTGTTATAGTCAATAAGGACTAAAAGGATTTACCTTCACACTTGATGAGACAGGAGGATTTGACTGTAAGGATTTCAAAAGGTCCCTTGGGGGAGGGGGTGGCAAAGGGAGTGAATACAAGGCTCCTTCAGAAACAGCACCTGAAACTGAAATAACAGCATTGAAAGTACAGGTTCTTTTTACAGTGCCACAGCCTGCGGCTGATTATGAAGGTCTGGGATATTTTGCTGAATTTCCTAACTAGGGATAATCTGTCAAAATGAGCAATACTGTGTGAAGACAGGCAGCTGTTTTCCTGGTTCCTCTTTGCAAGATGACTGTGCACATCCTTCTAGTCCTGGCTTGGGGACACAGAGCTCCCTCTGTCTATACTATTGTTCTTTTCAATCTGTCCTGTGGTTCTACTGCCTCCCGTTCCCAGGCAGAGGGGCCTGCTGACCTGTGCATGGCTCCCTTCTGGCCTAGATTTATTCGGCATGGCAACAGGGACATGGGGCAGGAAATGTATGCACTGGTCTAGTTGTAGTACGGAGCCAGGATGGGACCCATGTGTTCACAAAGACCTGGAAAATGCCTTTAGATCCCACAGGATAGATACAGCCAGCATCCCTCAAGGCCAAGAGAGGTGTAGGAAAGAGAAACAGGAGGCCATGTGATAAAGTTACAAAGAAACACAAAGTTAAAAGGCAAATATTCAAATGCTACCCTTCTGAAGAGAAATATATTCATTATACTATACTGAAAGCAAATGGGAAGCAGTCTTACCTACATGGTCATTTCAATGTTAGCGCAAATTCAGAATCTGTTTCGTTACTACCTGCTGGTGGTACTCCCGGGCGTGAAGAGTCTGTGGATGGCAACAGACTTATCTCGTTTTCTCTGTCTATCTTCTTGTTTTCTGTGGGAATTAAAGATCTGTTCTCTGGTTTAGGCGGCTCTACCAGCTCTTCTTTTCCAGAGTCGGCAATATTAGAGGCTGATGTCCCTTCAAAAGAGAACAAAGGAAAGATGAAGATTACCAGGGAAAACACAGCCTGACTCTAATCAGCTATCAGGAAACAACCCTAGTCAGGAAAACAGACTGTACATTAACGTGAACATTAAAACAAACATTCAAGCAATTCACTGAGAAATTGCTGGAATATTGTTGGTATTTAAATTCAGACCATACTTACGACATTAACTACTACTGAAAATCAGTAAGAAGTCAGAGTTTCAAACAAATACCAGTGATGACTATGCAAAATATACACAGCCCCTTACAATAAAACATTAACAATATATTTATTGTGTCATTTTCTGTATAGCATCCTTCAGCCAATGACCTCAAATCACAAATACCTCCCAGCCTAAAGAAGGCATCTAGTTCTTTGTCAATTGTTGTGGGACTGGGAGGAAGTTTAACAGAATTGTGTTTGGTTTAGCCAGTTAAATGTTTTAGGACTGTTTTCAAGTCTGTGGTTTTAGTGTCATGACCCTGCTCATTCCCAGAAAACACTTTCCTATATAGAACTATTTGCAATAAAGAATCATTCTGTTACTCATGAACAGAAAGAAACAAGCTGGAGACAACCTAGGGAAAACATAAAAATCAAAGTTCAAGACTTACTAATATATCAGTAAAAAATAAAGGCTGAATTATTGATTCACTGCAGCTCTAAAAGATCCTGTGCTCTATACAGCTTGGTAAAATCTCAGAATCAGGCCTGAAAAACCAACTTGAAGTCTGGTTAAAAGACACACAAAGATGCTTTCAGTGTACAGGAACACAAAAATGCGTACATCTTAGAATTATTAAAATTAGATTAGGTTAAAGTCAGGATGGTAAAAAATGAAGTAAAAAAAAAAAAAAATCAAGATACTGTGATATCTTGAATCTGTCAAAATCTCCTGAAGGAGCAGATAAATTCTTATCTGTGAATACATTCAAAACTGAGCCTGAAAAAGAGCTTGGAAATGCTCAGTGTGCACTGGGGATGATTAGAAAAACTTCCTATATGCTAACAACTTTTCCTGGTTGTAGTTGTAAATTTTTGTTTCCACCTGCCACCTTTTTCCAGCAACACCTTGTGAATTTTCCTAAAAATAAAAATTAAAGTTTTATTTTGCTATAAAGGAAAATAAGCACAGGTATTAATACAAGGTTTCTTTGTCATGCTGTTTTATCAGCTTTCTATCTTAAGCATGGCGGTGATCTTGGAATCAAAAGCCACAGACCTCTATTTGAATGTGAAATTAGACAACAGCTTTGTGTCCTTTTTTCTGTACAAAGCATTAGAATATCTGAGACAAGCAGGAAGCAGTATGCTTCGTTTTAATCAGTGCTGCTCACAAGAAGCCAGGGCTCAGTAGAACTGTTTAAGAGAAGACAAGCGATGCACATTTCAGTGCACTAAAGATTGAAGAGTAGATGAAAAGCAGTAATGGTAGAAGTGGCCACGGTCGTGACAGGCAAGTTTTGTCTTCTGACCTCTGTTTGGGTTTTGCATCCACTTTCTTCAGTCATGTATCAATGTAGGTTTGAATAAAGCCAGGCTTTAGAATTAAGACACAAAAAAAACAGGTATGTTTCTTTATTCCTGTATCAGAATGCTAAGAAATCCCGAATTCCACGAGGGCTCAAAAATCAGTCACTGAACAAGTCTGCAGGCCTTTAGCTAAAACTGACAGTCCCTGCATTCCGCAGATGGTAGCTTTTCCCTCCTGTATTTCAACCTAGAAGTCTCTAAAATTAGAATCACTTCCCTCTTTCAACCTACTTTTCAGGGTTTGTCATCAATTTAGCAACTTCCTGCACATCAGACAAACAGGTCATCACTGCAGCTAAAGAGCTGACATAAGAAAAAAAATCAATTATTATGGGAGTTCAGAAGTGGGCCTAGAGTAGTGCAAGAAATTGTTGACGGGAGGTACAGCTCTCCTGGAATTAATCTGCCAGGAAAACCAACCTGTGTGTTGTGTCTGATTCCTTTAGGTCAGAATGAATAGAATTACAGTGATGAAGGACCACCTGGTTTTCAAAAGTGCCCAGTAGAACAAGCAATGTATTCTTCGTATCTGCCCCAAAGGAATGACCTGAGTGAGCATTTTCAGATATAAATAAAAAAGCAGAAATAGAGGGTAAAGGCCTCAAAGATTTGCCTAAATCTAAAAAGATCATGCTAGAAATCACTGCGGCTTGTGACTGAGCCCACTGTGGAATGTCCGCATTGGGTTAATTCCAAAAAAACATAACTACTTCCACATGCCAGAACAACAAAACAATCCAGACTCTCTGCCACTCAAATTAATATGAAGCTTTGCTATGGACTTCAATATAAAAGACAACTATAATAAGTGTTTTTAAAAGATCATTTCATTGTAGTTTCGCAACTTACTGCATTTGAGTTGATCTGAGACTAACATTAATATCCATCATCCAGAAATGTAAGTAAAAATTGATCACTCCACAGGATTTGTCTCTTCCCATCCTCTTTTAAGCCCTCTTTATCTAGCTTTCATGCTGCTTTACAGAGTCAACCCCCAAATCACATAACTCCTTATGCAGCTCTTTGTGGAACAGTCCAATATTGTAGTTCACCCATTATCACAAAGGAAATCTGAGAAACAAAGGTATCTTAGATTTATTACATCAGTTCAGTGTCTTAATAAGCTGAATTGAACATGTCCATTTCTTTCCAAGATCTATTAATATTTACTTTCCCTGTTTACTATTCAGCCTGCAGATACCCTTATAAAGACCCTTGTTTACTTGCATCAGCCAGCTACAATCTTTACAAACCGAGTTTTTCCTTGGTAATTACAAAACATTCTCTTCCAGCCTGCAGGAATTTGATTGGGGTTTATTTTTAACAGGGAAAAGCCTCAGGGTTTTCAGCTTGTGGCAAGTGAAGTCCAAAAAGTCTCAGGAATGTTTCTGAGAAAGCTAAAACAAAGCCCAAAACCTTAAGGTAAATCACAGAGGCAGAGAAAAAACAGGTTATACCTCTTGTACCAGAGGCTGACCTCAGCTGCATCTTGTGCAAGCTACAGCAATACAGTGATACTGACATACCACACAGTGATACGGACAGTCAGACAAGCAGAAGGATAATGACTTTCTGTGCTGGGATGATTATTTTTGTTTGTGTTCTATCTTTAAGGTTCTATCTTTAAATTACTGGAAGTTGCTCTGGGATTGGAAGCCTGATTCTTTGCATTTTACATAAGCACCGAGACAAATCTTACTTGGTTCTTGTGTAAGCGATCTTGTCAGAGCTTTACAATGCCGCCTCTCAGGGTTTGATCCAGTGCCACATTCTGGCCTCTGCACACAGGCCCACACCTAACAATCAGAGACCCCCTGCACAGCCTCTGGGCTTCAGGGGGTCATTTCACTAAATGTGCTAAACATCAGCTCGAAGCCACCAACGTTGTGGTTTGCAAGCAAGAGCTCTCTGAAATTAAATACATGGAGCTTCTGTTGAAGTGATTCACCCCTGCAATGTGCTGAACTAACCTCAGTTTGAAATCTGTTCAGGAGCTTGTTTTAAAGGCCTGTAACAGAAGAGAAACCCCCCTACCCGGAGGTAAAAGCAGCAGCATCTCAGTTGTTACAAGAAGTATAAACAAAGGTGGGCCCCAGAATGTGCTCTGACAGGGAAAGAATGCAAGGCCTGTAACTAATTAGAGCTTAAGGTGTGGTAGGTTAAGCTGTGTTATATAAGAGCACCCACAACCTCTCTGTATGGACCAGGAATTGATGGTGTTAAATACTGAAGAGGCACAGAGCAAAAACCTCATCACGTCATGAAAGTCACTCCCTACTCCAGAGCATCCTTAAAAATACCATTATCAGAGAACCAGGGTTATTTCAGTGCTCTTAATCTAGATCAGATTTAATACAAATGATAAAATTAATATTAAATTTAAGTATAAATTAAAAAAAAAATTAAATCAAGATTTTATCTTCAATCCTGTCCACTGAGACATGACCCTCACAGTGACTAAATTAACAACTGGATTACCAAGATACAGCTTAAACCAGATTCGAACCAAATCATAGAATCATAGAATAGTTAGGGTTGGAAAGGACCTTAAAATCATCCAGTTCCAACCCCCCTGCCATGGGCAGGGACACCTCACATTAAACCATGTCACCCAAGGCTATAGAAGCATAGAATGATTAGGGTTGGAAATCCTGTAGCTCTATGTGTTTTGCTGAAGAATGAGGAGTAGGACTTGCTGTGGTCTTCTATGCTGAATGCTGTGAGTGAATTCAGTCAGGAGGTCGATCTGCTGAATCAAAGTGCTGCACAGGGTGGCAGCAAAATCAGTTACATTAACTGAGCAACACTCTCATTAGGGTCTGTGGTTACCCTGTTAGATGTACTAAGACAGAATTTGCTGCTTGAGCTGTAGCACTTACTATTCCTTTAAAAACACCCAATAAAATTACATAATTTGGAATGCCATTGTCAGATTTTTCCACGATACCCAGATGAAGGTTTACAGTGACACTAATTCCCGGAAACTACAGAACACAGCAGTGCCACACAAACCAACGCTGTGGCAAGAAACCCACGATGCAGAGCTGGACTTCCCATGCATGGCAGCTGGCAGCCCTGCCCGGTGGAGATGGGCTGCTGTTGAGCAACAGCCGCTCGTGATGTCACTCAAAATGACTCGTGGCAGACAGCTTCTCCATCACAGAACGGGAGAAGCAGATGGGGCTCCCACACATTCCTCACCTATGGCAGCATGTGCCCTCGTGAGCACACCTGGATAGAGTTTCTCTAACCATTTTCAGCCACGTAACAACAATCTGTAATGTTTCTTTCTAGTAATTCCCCATGGAAAACTGGTGAAAATCATAAAACATCTGGTTTCCAGACCGTAGACTTTGTGTGGGAATATGTGTTAAAAAGGGAACGTGGTCCACTCTCAACTTTTTGGGGCTACTCAATACAGAAACACAGTATGCTGTCCAGGCTTCAACAGATTTCATGGTAGCACTGGGTTAAGGTACAATTTGGTTTACAAAAATTGACAAAAAATCTGCAATTTAAACATAATTTTCAATGGAAAAAAAATGGAAAGTTACATTTAAGAGTGTTGTGATTTCTATAAGTCAATAGTTTACCTTAACCAGGCACACTGAGCTCAAACTCTAACCATCCTACCTCAAAAAGATAAACCCGAAATACAGCAAACTGGAGATTGGTGAAAAGAATCTCACGCAGAGTTACAAAGTTAAGCTTTCCCCAAGTTAAACTAGAGTTTAATCTGGGGAGGGACAGAGGAGAACATACGATAGGAACAGAGAAAATATGAGATGGAATAAACAAAGAGTAATGTAGGTAGTTGATAAAGCATTTCTCCTTTTCATAATCTTTTTCTCATGGTGCAGGACAGCAACCTGCATAGGAAAACTGATTATATGTTCTTCTGCTCTTCTGGGTTTGCTGACTGAGTATAGTGACAAAGTTTCACAGAGAAACAAGAACGTATGAAGAATTAAAACATGCAGAATCAAGCTCTGTTTAGAAACCCTGACTGAAGCATTAAAGTACCAGCCCTGGCTCGGAGCACAGCCAATCTCTGTGGCACCTCTCAAAGCCACTGAAAAGGTGGGATGATGACTGAGAGGGACCTGTGATTCTTTCTCTATGTCACTTCTTAAGCATCAGACTCCCAGCAAAAGGTTTCGTCAGCCAGTGAGATCCACTGGACTGGGGCTGGTGCTCTGGGAGAACACAGATTCCCACAGGAGGAAGGAGCAGCTACTCACAGTCCAGAATGACTTGGGCCGCTCGGTAGAGCTGCAGTGCTCGCAGCAGGTCCAGGAGCTGTGGCACCGTTGCCAACCTCACTCCCCACCACCACATCAGCTCCCTTGTTATGCTGATCCCAGTCTTTTCCATGCACTTGATTTTCCGTAGCTCTGTTTGGTCAGTTATCACGTAGGAGGCTATTGGGAGACAAAGGACAGTTCTGTTTAAACTAGAAAATACAAGCAGGTGCAACAGGGAAAACTAAGGTGTGAGACACACTTTGCCTTTGCACGCTTTTACAAGGAAGGATGGCAATAACTGAACTATATGGACATGAAGAAAGGTCAGTTTGTGTAAGTTCAGCTGTGTGCTCATTTGTGGTCCCTGGGGCTGGTGGAGATGCCACCAAAGGTGTCTGTCCAAATCAGCCCGCCTCAGCTGATCCACATCTACCTGAAGGAGAGGTGTGGGGGCCTGGAGTGTGGGAACAAAGATTGTCCTCAGCTGGCTTTAGAGGACACTGGACATAGTTTTATGCATGCAAAGATAGCGGAAGTGAATCCCACCCTAAGTCAGCAAGTTTAACTGGGTTAAGAGTTCAGTCAGTAGACAGAGTTAGTGAAGTCTTGAATGAAATTATGTCATGTTAAATAAGAAAGGGAGGACAACTGAGGAAAGATTCAGGTTAGAACTGTTTGGACTGGGATACAGAAAAAAAGAATAAAAACCTCAGGGACTGCATTTTCTATGCTTATTAACTGGACACAGCAGGACCAAGAAAAATGGGGCAGTAAGTATGAGGGAATATACATGAAGTGAAGAGAGAAAGAAAACAATAGATCATCTAAGCAAGGCAAACACTGGGAGAAGCAGAAGATAAAGTGCAGAGAGGGGAGTGCTAAAGAGCAGAGCGCGAGAGGCGGGAGCCTGGCTGCGCAGAGAAGCCAAGCAAACACAGAAGTCCGGAATTCCACCTATGAACCAGCAGTTTCACTTGATCCCAAAACCAGAGTGGTGCATGGGAACTCCCTGTCTACAGGATGTGAGTGCTGGGCAGCGGCTGGGCCAGAGGCCCTGCATGGGGCAGCTGTGTGCCCTCCCAGCACCCCGCACCCTTCCACTGCCCGTCCCAGCCATGCTGCCGCGCTGTGCCCCTATGGCACTCCATCAGCCCACCTCCCCGCATGCCAAGCTCACCGAACCGCATCCAGTCGTAGTCACTCAGGCAGTCCATCTTCTGGCAGAAGTCCTCCAGCACCCAGGCAGGCATGCTGTGGATGTACAGCACCGGGGGGGAGCCCCCTTTCAGGGCCAGGGGCGGCTGCTGCAGGGTCATTGCTTCGCAGGCCCTCTCCGGAGTGTCTTTTGTCCCCGCCGTGGCCATCAGCCACGGCTACACATGGTGCATACCCAGAGCAGGGACACTCGCCACTCTCTGCCTCCTGTGCGGCTTGTGGAGGGCTGATTTTCTTCAAACGCTTCCTCTTCTCAAAGGGGCTGTCCTTCACAGCCTGTCCCCACCCCACCACACTCACTCTTTGCTGGCGGAAGAGTCGAGCGACACGGGCAAGCGTTTCTTGGCAGGCTCAGACCGCGCTCCTGCTTCCTGCTCTGGCTGACGTCAGGCCCCAATTACAAATCAGATTTTCCTTTCCATTGAGTGCCGATTGCTCCAGCCCGATTGCCAAATGCCAGGTTTCACGGGATGAAGGTGAAAGGTGCTTTCCTGCCTGTTACGCGCAGCTGGTATTGCCGACAGGCTGGGCAATGGCTGCTCGCAAAGCGACGGCTGGTAGGTAAGGAGCTTGCCCGCTCAGCCCAGCCATTAGCCACATTTCCAGGGCAGTCTGCTAGTGGCTTGGTCACCTGTGTGGGTATAGATATGTCTGTGTGTTTAAACATAGATCCCCCCAAGAGCTGCACCGACCGTGCTCCCACTGTGCGGGATGCTGTACGACCAGGGATAGAGGAAGTTTCAAATATCCCACAAGATCTAAGCAACGAACATGTACAAGCAGGAGGGCAGTAAAAACCTCTGTCAGCAAATACTGAGCAGTGACGCCTCTGCCTAACCGCTGCCAGGCTTTTGCACTCATTGCAGCATATAGGATTTCACTTACCATAATATGTAGCACAGTAGCAGATGCAGGGCGTGAGAAGTGGTCATCTAGCCAGGCTAGTCGAGGATTGGGTTTAAAATGTGGTCTTAAAGCCAGTAATTTTTCTAAATGCATAGATTTTTCCTTTGTTTTTGTATTGAAGCTGCTTTCTATAAACATTTGTAATGACTTTGCCAGGGTAAATGCTACAGATCCTGCTGGCAAAACCATCTACTTAGACAGCCTTAAAGCAGTACCTCTGCCAGCATGGGACAATTCACCAAACACAACTGTGACCCATTCCTCTTCCTATTCTTTTCGTTCATGTTCAGCCCTAGGTCTTTTTGTATTTACTGCAAACATTACTGTAAGTTTAGAGGGCTTTTCACTTACTATTTCTTTATAATCTGCTCGTATTTCACAGCAGAGCTAACTCTTGTTTTCAGGATCAAACTTTCACACTTCGGCAATTTTCCATACTTCTAACCTCAGAAATCACAAGCCTTTCAAGTACCATTAAAGTAACAATGAATTTCTTACCCCCACTGTGGAAAGGAAAAGCTGAAAAATGTGATATTAATGTAGCTACAAGGTCAAAAGACAGGGAAAAAAGAATATCCGAATTGTGTAACTTGAAAGACCACAATTCAAAGATTCCTCAGGACCTCCCTGTTTTAGCAGCAGCACTATTTCAATAATAACAGTTGAATTTATGGGGGTTTCCCCTCCTTTTCCCTGCTTAGTGTCCTTCTGACACACAGCCATGGGAAAACGATCAGAGCATCTCTGAAAATCACGCAAGATGAGATTGAAATGTGTGTTGCAAAGAAGTGGATAAAAGGAGGAAGAGAAGACTCTTCTTTCCCTTGGGTACTGGAAAGAAACTGAAACGTTCTGGACTATTTGCCTCATGGGAGAGCAAGGGGAAAGAACACATTGACAAAGCATGAAGGGTTTTACAAAGGAAGTGAAATTTACTTTTTCACATGCAGACTGGAATGATCTTACTCCTGCTATTCAGCCTCCACTTGCAAATAATGAGGTATTAATCAGGCAGGACCCTGCCCTCCTCGAGCCTCCGGGAACTAAACAAGCAACTTGTTTGTGTCTGTGGTGTTTTGCACCTTCAGCTGTTACCCACCACTTCCTGCAGCAGCTCATTTCCACCACCACTGCTGTTGAGCTGGAGCATAGCCAGGCCCTGACCTTCGCCGCTCCCTGCCTGCCAACAAGACACTAACATGACTCCAACTGAATACTACCCAAGTTTGTAATGCACTTGTCACAACCAAATGGCAACTTTCACTCATCACTAATCCAGCTGAGTAATTACTAGGAGGCTCCATTTCCCATCTATTATAGCCAGCTGGGTTTATTTCCTCGTCTTTTCTTACCCTGACCCAAAGGAGCAGTCCAAAAATACACTTTTGTGCATATGCTGAGCATTTCTCCATGTTTACCTATAACATCTGGGTTTTCTTTCTGTTTTTTTAAACATTTTGTAAATAGTTCTTTAATGACCAAACCTTCCTAGTTGGCATTTATGCACCTGCTTTAACAATTCTAATTGAACAGGCTTTTATGTCAATTACCTTCTTACATCTGTTAGCACTTTGCACTTTGAATAAATACTCAACCCATGCGTTTGGCTGAAGAATGAAAACCAAACGATACCAAAAATGTTAGGAGCTATTGCATTCCAACAAACAACATGTTATCAAATTGTGTTTTTGCTACAATGCCTCTGGGTAACAAATATAAAAGACATACATCTGGGCTAATGTTATTACTGAACTAATTCATGGCAGGGTCTCTGAGCATTCGACCAGCCCATGAATGGTATTATTAAATGAAGGTTATTAATGGTGTTATTAAATGAAGGTGTTATTTAACATGCTCACAATTACTGCCATGTTTTTTAAAAAGACAAAAAAGAACCCACACAACCTGTAACAGTACTGTCAGACTGTGGCACAAGAGTCAAATGGAACATCAGATGTTACTCAATGGGCTGTGAAAACAAAACCTTGTCACCTGTTTGTGAGAGATGCTGTAAAGTGCTGCTAATTGTAGAGAGGAAGTTGCTAAGCTTTTAAACCTGATGTATGGCAGGGGGGTGGGGGGTATTCCATGGCTTGTCAAGAGGAAAAATCAACACAACACATCGGAAAGCTAATATTAGCTAAGTATTCACAGAATTCATATCACAAGAAAACATACCCACATTGCAAGAGGAATAGGGGAGGCAGATGCATGAACAGGCTTCTGCCTCAGACTTCGTATCTGTGTTCAGTCCTTTCCTCTCCCAAACTTCTGGCATAACTTTGGAATACTCAATTTCATCCGCAAAATGGAAATAGTATTTCTATTGTTATCTTGTCTCAGGAAAGTATAAGATTTCAAGCATGGATTGCCTCTTGCTATACATTAAGGAAATGATTTAACTAAATGTAAAGTTCAGCAAAGACAGGATACTCCTATGATCAATGAGATCAGGAGGTAGTTTATATGTTTTTGGCAAGCCACAGATATGTAAGTATGTTTTTCCTGTCTGCCAACATGCAGAAATCCAAGGAATCTGATCCAAAAGCAGCCAAACATTGTACTAGGAAAGCATCACTGACTGGCTGTGTACTGGAGGAAGTCACAGACTAATGGAATAAATTTAAATTATTAAACGAAGCAACACAGGAGATCATAGACCCCACATAAATCAGGAACACACAGAAGGTTTGTGATATGTACAGATCTGTAAAACCTAATACCTACTGCGGGAAAACTGGAGTTGTGCAACCTGTTTTCTGCGCCAGTTTGGCCGTGCTGTCACAGTAACCATAACACAGAGTACCACAAGGACATCAGGAGAGAAACTCCTTTCTTGAATCTGCAGGACCCCACCTGCAGGAGCACCCAAGGTCTTCCAGGAGCCGGGTGACATCCTGCTGTCTGCTCCCAGTGCCTGCACAGGCAGATCTGCAAAAGGTGGCGAATGCACAAATTGTTGTGTAGCTACATTTGTGCAAAAGCACGGCCTGAGGCTGTGCTATGTTTTTAGTTTTAGCCACCCCTCAGTCTCACAGCTACAGGAGGCTGCACAGTTTGTAAACTCAGTCCAGGAGTATCTGTCACTGATTAGCTATAATGACTTTCAGGAGTATCACAGGAATACAAGAATAAAGACACAAACACTGTGAGGCTGTGTGAAAGAATCAAACAGCATGGATTTACATTTTTAGGACAAAGATCAATTCATACACTTCAAATATGTAAGAAAAAACAAGTCTACAAAAAGGGGAGACATTTCATACTTACAGAACATGTCGACAGTCTTCAGTTTCACAGCTGTTTCTTAGAATGTGTAACTGGAAAGAAACGTGTCACAGAAATAACCTGCTATAATCTTCTACCACTCTGCTTCTAACAGTGAACAGCACTGCATCTGTTACTTGGTGGACAATTCACGTATCTGTAAAAAAACTACACTGCTTGGAATGACGTGCATGTTCACACAAATACACATCCTAATTGAGGCATGAGGGAAGAGAACATTGGTAAGCAAATGTTTTCCCTGCTTATCTAGCCTGCAATAAAGCATAAAGCATGGATCTGTGAGACAGATCTAGCAACAGGCCCATCTGAGCTGATGCAATTTGCTATCTGTTCCTTAGGAGACACCAGCAGCTCAAGTGGTCCCTGCTCCCCTGAAAAGGCCTCCCAACTACTGGACTACTGCACTGCCACGGGAAAAGGCAGGATCAAAGCATCTACTGTCTATAAGCACAACCTGTAACGGGAAGCTCTACAGAGGAGAGAAGAGCCCCTGAACTAGGACCCCAGAACTATGTCTACATGGCTGACTGGGTTGATGACCTTCAGATCCAAGCATGAAGGATAAATAAGGCATCCAAGGTACAATCTGTGTAAAAACGCGTCAGCCTGAGCGGGCTTACACATGTAAAGCCAAAAGGCAGGAAAACCCCCAAGCATTTACACGTGTCATCTTTCCACCAGCATGATGTTTTGATGTTTCATGTCAGGTCCCAAGAAGGGGTGTCTGAAACTCTCATGTACACAAACACCCCCCACGCTTGGTTGGTCACAGGCAAATTCAGGCCAAGTGTGAGAGTGAAATTCCATTGAATGCAAATTATTCAAATGAAAATGGTGTGGGTCTGCCACTTACAATCATTAGAGTCTGAATTAAATTAATCTTTAGCGTAATTTACTGTCTAATACAATGAAAGCTAATCTGTATGCTCCAAACAGATGACCTGATCTTACATCCCTGTGCGGTGTTCTGACGCAGTCCAAATAAAACTTCTGAGCTTCCTCCTCCAGAGTTGCTGGTTCGCAACACGCATAACAAACCATCATGATCCTGGTGTGCTTCTATGCACTGTTTAGTCTTTGGGAGCAGACTTATCAAGTTAACTGAGCTCATGTCTCAGAACATAAAATACAGACAACAGATCTTAGCATGTTTGGTGGCATGCTCCCTGCTTAAACTCTGTGGTTTGCTATACGAATGGTCCGGAGTAATCATATTATTCCAGAACTCCATTCCTCAGTATTTCACTTCTCTCCAGAGAAAGCCGCTGAAGATCCTTCTTAACATCAGGATGATCTTCCAGCTCTTCGTATAACGACCGAACAATGTCCAGTTTCCTGTAGTCCACTGGTTTGACCAGACTGCGAACAACCTGAAGACATCGTTCTTTCAGGGTGAACACTGTAGTTAAATACAGACATACACATAGCCTCATCACAAGGGTGCTTGTTAGCTGCTGACTCCAACACAGACAGTACTTCCCCAAGTACATGACCCCAGAACATGGCACGCTACCCCAAGTGTGAAGAACTTGTTTCCTGTGGCAAGGCACAGTACAAAACCCATCACGGACCTCTTTAAAACTGCAAACAGCCCTGTTAACACCACAGCTCTGTCAAGAAATCCTCTCTCTCTCTTCATATTTGAAACAGACCTTATATGAGGATCCTATTTCTCACTTACCTGGCAGCGTGATGTCTGCTTTGTTCACATTGGGAGCTGCTATGAACAGC